AGCATCCATGTCCAAATGTAGTAATAAAGTTAAGATGTTTCATTGCAGACCAGGTGACCAAACTTGAGAACAAATCAAAAGTTATGCCATAGTTAGCATGAGCCGAGGGTTTGTATTAATAGAGCTCAAGTAACGAAATGAAAAAGGTACAACATAAATTAGTCTCATATAAGATAATTCAAAGCACCCAAGTATGTCGCCATCCAACATTTGTTTAAATTAACAAATTACTCCCTACCACCAATAATGGACCTACGGGTGGGCAATCGGTTGGTCCACACCGGACTATACCGGACCGAATTGATATTTGAATCGGATCACACCGAACCGAATATAATATGGTCCGATCCCTGATCTCATGATTTTTGTAAATAATGAAGAAAAATGGAAGGAATTTACATTTGGACCAGACCAAAGCACACCAAACGGACCAAATGCACTATTGTTCCGGTCCTTGGTCCTTATTTATCTTCCATTATTGGACCGCGATTCTATGAATTTAGTCCGATTTGGTCCAGACCGATGCCCACCCTTAAATGGACGACGTAGTCCAATTTGGCAATTCTCCTGCATTACTTACTTCTACAATTCTACCCCACGATGCATGGGAATATGGGATGATCCCATGTTGTGAGATATCAGCTTAATTCCACCCCAGTACCCCACGTTCCTCATAAGTGGGGCCACTAATCACCCCACTTTTGCAATTAAATCATCCGCCTATTTAAGTGCTTCCAAATCCGATAAACACCTGACGTCTCACCACAATATCAATTTGATCTTCACTTTTGTGCAGCCATGGTGTTCCGCAGACTTAGGGAGCTTAGTGTATCATATGCACAGCTATTTTGTGTTCGGGTTAGGGTGATTCGAATATGGGCAACAATCATTGCTGGTCTTGAAGGGATTCAGTACCTCAACATGCTGCTGCTGGATGATGAGGTTAGCAAACACATCTTATGCCCGTTAAGTTTTCTGAACCTTACGTTGACAAGCTCATGATTTATAAGACTATACATGCACTTTAAAAATTCCATGCTGTAACTTACATTCCAGTTTGTCGTTGTTATGCATCTTAGTTGAGAAAATGATTTCTGCGACCTCCATACTTGGTCCTGTGAACAGAATATATAAAAAGTCAGCAGAGAGTTCTGATACATTTAGTTTGGCATACATAACAGCAGATTCTTTAGTTGACACATAGCCACAGCCATCAAAGTACATGCATTCACATAGTTAAAGAAGAAAACTAGATTTGACCCATGTACTGGTGAATTTAATGATTGCAATGATGGATGCATGGATCAGTGTTTTTAACGGCAATAAAACATTCAATTTTTGGAGTGAAATTAAGGTGACAAATCTAAACTTTAGGCCCTAGACCAGCTTCTTAAATTAATGTTTCATGCACCTTAACTTTATTCACCTATACACCAAGTCATTCCAAATTGAAAACACAAGTAGCTATACCCAAATTCCAACCATAACCTCTAAACATCATCACCTGAACCGAATGAAACACAAACCAGTACCCAAATTCATGATTTGGTTGTTTTTTTTATATCATAGGGAACAGAGATGGAAGCTGTCATTCATCGTGCAGAAGTCCCCAAGTTCAAAGATGTTGTGCACGAGGGAGGGATATATGCATTAGGAAAGTTTGAGGTTCAACCATTCAATGTACTCTATAGAATTGCTGTTACACCTCTGCGAATCGCTTTCAACACTAACACGTCTATTCAAGCGATGCCGAATACAACAGACATACCTGATTTTTTCTTCCGGTTCCTGTCTTGGAATGAAATTCCTAATGCACATGCAAATCAAAAATATATGTCTGGTAAGATCGAACCAAATTAGTATTACACTTCTTTTGCATAGCTTTTGGGTATGCAATTAAACAATGTTTTTTTTTTTTGTTAACAGATATTGTTGGACACATTGTTGCTGCTCAACCAACTGAGGGGCTCTTTGAGGGCCTTTTAACTGTGAGGAAAAAACGTGTTTTCATAAGGCTTTTTCAGTAAGTAAATTTGTTATTAATTTTAGTCTTTCAGTTCTGTATGACAAGGTCAGTGTTTCTGTCCAACTTAATGATCCCACCTGTTTACTTTAGGGGAGTCACTTTTGAAGTCATCCTCTTTGATTCCCTAATTGATGCATTTGAAACTACAATTCCTAATCAGCCACAAGTAGAAACGTTGGCAGCATTCACTTCTGTCTATGTCTACAAGAATTATATTGGTACTACCACTTCTCTTGCAACTTACCTGTTATACCACTTGATTTTAAGTGCACCACCTGCACATCTGATTTTGTATTCGATGCTTTTAGGTGAATACTATTTTGCATGCTCCCGTGCAAGCAAAGTGTACTTCAACTTACCTCAAACTCAGTTTAACCCTCAACCAGTTCGGTTAGTCAATCACTCTTATTCTAGACAAGATCGATTTCTGGTGCAAAGATCTCTTACTGACTGACTTATATTTTCACTAGGGTTAGAGCTGCTGCTACTCAGGAGGTTGCAGACTACACATTGGAGGAAGCAATATCCGTAGGCCAAATATGTTCTGTACAAGAACTAATCCAGACTCAGGCTGATGTGAGCAACAAATTCAGAACAATAGTTTTGGTTCAATTAAATATGTTTACCCTGCTACCAGTGTACTAACAGGCCAAGTATTTTCAATACAGGAATCGGCATATGTTGTTCGTGCTGAACTAAAAGAAGTTGATGTGTTTTGGTCAAGCGATATGGAAAAGTATATCGTGCGTTTGCGTATTACTGATGGATCAGCTGAAACGACCGCCATATTTCTCTCCTCTGACTTCAGAAGAATATGCGGTCGTATGATTAAGGAAAATGATTTGTTGTGGGCTGCTAACTTTGAGGACCACTTATATTCTATTTCTGGAAAAGTCCTCACCCTAATGATCAAACGCATGAGGCGTAATGCTCTGACAAACCAAGTTGATTTGGTTGTTCAAAAGTTGTTTTGGTAGACCTGGGTACTTAGGTTCAAGGCGTCCTTTAGCTTCATGACTTATTTACTAGACTATTTGGTTATGTGTTGGTAGTCTCTGTTCATTACTACCCATTTTAATTGTAGTGTGTTTGGTTTAGGCAACTTTGGACAATTCTGTTGCCGTTGGTTTATTGTTTTATCAATTTCTACTATGATTTCATTCAGCTTTGGTTTCATGTTAAAGTAGACAGCATGAAAGACAGTACAAGTGATCACAACTTTATGTTCCGATATTGGATACTTATACAAAATTTCTAATATATCGGACAGACCAAATTATCCACTAACCTGAAAGATTAAGAACGGCTTAGCAAACCTCCCTTTGGTATGAAAACGAGCACGAGGGGGCCCTTCAACATCATATTGAACATGGAGGATCTGTCATCGTCGCTACCTTCATAGGTTATAATTTCTGCAGTAATAATGACAAAACTGAAAGTCATGTCCTCCAAAACCTTCTTAAAAGATTTAAACATAAACACAACGCAAACGAAGCTATAGCTCTTTGTTCATAGCCAAGTCTGCCATATCAAAGTTCATTCATGAATTTTAAAAACAAAACCAATTTCAGAGGTCAAGATTCCTATATCTCCTTCCACGTTCTTAGCTGAGTTTTCCACCCACCGCAACCTTAACCCCTGTTTAGAGCGTCGCATCCAAGACTGAACCAACCAATTGCTCATAATTATGTTTGACATGAACCTTTGGCAAAACCACTCACCAGTATCCCACTCAACCAATTTCGATGGCTTACCACAACTAATACAATTACCCATTTCACAAATACAAAATCCTCAAACCAACAACCTGTACAAAGAATCACCTATAATGGTTTCCTTCCCCATACTTCATTTCCGCGAGCTTGAACAACAAACAACATGGTAGAAGAAGAGATCATCCAAAAGCTCTAACCTGGCTGTTTGACGACCTTAAAGCCCAGACCCATTAGTGCATGTCTCAAAATCTACATCGCATTGCCCGGTGATGGGTGCGTCCCCCTTCCGGTGTGGTCGAAATAAACTCAGACGCCCGTTCTCTCAGGCACACATCGATTCGACTAGGCTGTTTCATTCGAGACTGGAACCGGGATTGTGACGGATCAGTGGCAAGAACGGAAAAGAGATTTGTAAGGTGATTGAGGAGGAAGCCAGAGACATTTACATGGACTTTGCGAGGCGAATAGATGATATGGGAGGGAATGGTCGTTCAGTATGATTGTCAATGTTTAATGCTTCAATTGCAGCACCAGGAGGATTGGAGGAAGACAAGACGGAGCTGGGTGATGCTTCTAGACTATGAGGCAACTGGCATATGTTAATTTTTTTTTTTTTGATGGGAGCAGATGTTTTTTTTTTTGAAGCAGATGTTAAATTTACAGATCTCAGGACAATGAGGAGTCTGTTTTCGTTTGGCCACTTTTTTATTTTTTTTATTTTGCCATAATACTTGGCCCACTTTTAGGCCCATCATTCTTTGCAAAATGCAATTTTCCTTTGACGTTTAAATGAATATAATGCACAGGCCTTTCCATTAAGAAACATTTATTTGGGTCAATGGACTTTATCTCATTTGGCCCACTCGCTAGACAAATGGATCCCACCAGTTCAAGTCTGTGGGCCTGGAAAAAATTGTCGATAATCTTACCAATTAACCCTGGCGGCTCCAAACTAAATGTCAACAAGATTACGTTTTTCCTCGCCGTCTAACCCTAAATAACAAAATTATCATCTTTTCGCATCTGATTCCATCCTACGATCAGAAATAGCCCACTTCAGATTTCTATCGTCTCAACTTCTCCTCCATTCCGAAAAACATTGCGATAACCTCATCCCAATCGCACGTGCCACTGACGGTTTTGGTTAAATAAATTATTCCTTATTCGATTCCACGTCAGTAAGGCGGTGCGATAGCAGTTATCGAGCGATCGCCCTGGAGAACCAACTCACTATAAATACCAACCCTTCGTCTACTCCAATAAGCGGTTTCTTCTTCTTCGACTTGGTAGCCTGGTACGTTTTCTTTTATCCATCTGATGAATTGATTGGTGAATTTACAAGAACCTTTTTTTACTGCTCATTTTTTCCCCTTCCTTTGTATGCTCTAGAACGACTCCCACGTGTAGTGCTAATCACCAGAGAATGCAATCCAATTTGATTTCTGAGTTGTCGGCTGAAACGCCGGGGCTGGTTCTTCACGGCCGTATCTGTAGAAAATGGAAACCCCGAAACCCCAACACGGATAGGGTTCTGCGCCTCGATATGATCTGCCTAGACAGAAAGGTAACTATCGAATTCTTTCTTCGCACAATTCCACGAGCGGCCTGAATCTTATATGGAATTTGAAATGGAATCCAGGGAGATGCTGTTTGGATTCAAGTGCCAAAATCTTGCATGGACAGATTTGACCAACGCGTGGAAGAACAAAACACATACCGCATTGCCAACTTCAAGGTGGTTGCGGAGACCAAAGGCTATCGTCCTGTTCCCAATGGTTTATTCGTGGAATTGGAATCAACGTCCACCATTGAACCAACTCCTGATCATGTCCCTCCGTTCCCAACCCAATGCTTCAGATTTCTGAAGCACGAAGACATGTTCCCGAACCGTGATCAACGAACCATTTTGCTAGGTGAGTACCGATTCACTGTAATTATGAGTACCCTTACCACCCCGATTGTTGCTTGACTTTGTCGCGTACTCATATTCAATTGGGACAGATGTTGTAGGACAGCTTCTGGAGTTCTCGAAAACCAAGTCATCTACTTCAATAAACCGGAATTCCAAGAGAAAGGAAATCAAGATCATGTTGCCAGAGTATGCTTCTCGCCCTCTTATAAGTTCATTGTTTGCTTGCTTTACCGAGATGGTTTTTGTCTGAATCCATGCCTTCACTGTTGTCATTTGAAAGGGGAATTCCCGTAAAAGTGGTCTTATGGGGAAGATTGGGTCTTCAATTAGAACAGATAATTGATGCTGCCACGAATCCGAAAATCATTCTGATCATATCATCTGTGATGGTGTCTGAGTTTAATGGTATGTCACTCTTTTTTACATTGTCCTGCATGCATTGCTACCTATCCCAAAGTTTTGCACCCACCGTATAATTTATTTGTTCTATTAATTGACTAGGGGAACTGAAACTATCATCATCTAGCGCATCAGTAATGTATGACAACTTAGATGTACATGAAGTGAACACACTTCGAGACAGGTAGTAATCCATTTTTGTTCACCCTGCTTCAAACAACTCCCACACCAAAGTTTTATTCAAATCAATTATTCTAACTGTAATACTTTTTTTGAAAGCAATGATGCGTTGGATGCTCCAAGATTGCATGAAGAAAAAGGTCCAGAGGTTATTGGTCCTCTTTCCATTCAAGAGTTAAAGAATTTTACCAGTGATGCTGCTAATCTGGTATGGTCATCTCATCCAAGTCATATACTATATCTATAATTTGTAATTGACTCTAAGTAAATTGTTGGTTGAAAAAGGGTCCTACTTATTCCACCTGATAATTGCATGGGTTTAACCTGTTCACTCTGTTGTTTTAGACTAGACCTGCAAAATTAGTAAGAATCGTTTTTCAATTACTAAGAATCACCTACGTCATTTAATTTGAAGCTGGGTTCTATTATGAATCGGATCTTTTAACTAAGATAATAGTAATCCCGAAAACAATATTGTTACTTCTTAGCGTATAGGTTTAACATGTTATCTCCATTGGCATTTTAATTTGGAGTATATATTTGTGATTCCGATTCAAGCAGGAACTGTACGCCCTCTCTAATGGTTTGATGCAGCTTCTAATTGATCCCTTTTCACCAATAAAACTAGGATAGGTCTTAATGTTTACGAACACAAATTATGTTGCCTAAGACTGAACCACTTGCCCATTCTTTAATGAGATTGAAAGCATTTCTCTATAATATTTAAATTTGTAGATATTATTGGATCATACCTGTTTATCTTAATCGAATTTCCGCGATTTACCTTTTAGGCGTCGCTGCCACATTAGTCTTTCGTTACAGGATTGATTAAATATTGTCTGAACTGTGCTTGCCTGTAGTTTTTATCAATCGTGTGTGTCGGGGAGAGATTGAACCAAGTTTTTACAGCTCAATTATTAACTTCTACTTTTATTGTAGATTATCAATCCAGTGTGTTGGGATCAGATTGAACCAAATTTTTAGACCCTTCGAGCAACATGGGACTAAATTTACTATAAAGCACCCAATTGTTATTTGGATTTCTGTTTTTCAAACACATTTTAGCTGTGTATTCAACATTTTTATATCACTTTAGCAAATGAATTTGAGTGTCATTTATACTACTGAATCCTCTTAACATGATGTTTTGTTGCCGTTCGGCACAACATTACAATTTCTCCTGTACAGTACCGCTCATACCTAAGCTTCTTTCCTGGTTTGCAGAACAAAATCGTCTCTGTAACTTGCAAAGTTGACAAAGTGTTGAATGATTGGTTTTATGATGGTTGCACCAAATGCCCATGCAAAGTACAAGCTGAAGCGGATAAGTTTTATTGTAACAAATGTCAGACCACAAGTAGAAACAGTGTGAAAAGGTTATTTAATTTGCTCCCTGCTGTTCATTTTCCCGTCATCGAATCCAATTATGACACACTTTAACTCCTGTCTGAACAACCATCCTACTTAATGTACTTCATTCAAATTTCTGCAGGTTTCGAGTTCAAGTTTCTGTGAATGATCCAACGGGGGAGGCTGTCTTTGTACTCTTTGATGGTGAAGGGAAGAAGTTTTTTGGAATTTCAGCACAGGCTTTGTACGCTGATAAGGAAAACGAGCCAAGTGATGTGCCCGCTGCACTACTAACAATTGAACACATGGAAGTTGAGTTCCATATAAAGGTTAAGGAGTTCAATGTAAAGAAATCTTCACATGAATTCACTGTTTGGAAGATCAATGAGGCTAAGGAATCTGCGAACTCAACCACCAAAATTTCTGAGCCAATTCAGGTTGACTCCTTATAACATACAACCATGTGCTTGGTTCTTCTTATCATTTTTAACCTGTTGCATTTAAATATTTAGTATGCCATGTGTACGATTATACCCATGTTCCTTTATTTAACAAATCATGTGCACCCCTACTATATAAGTAACTGCATAGAATATATGAAATAAGAAACCTCTCCTTTCATTTTTCAGGAGAACACGTTGTCTTCACAGCAAGGGGGTGGCTCCACCCATTCTATTAGTACCAGCACTGTTGTTGATATTGAAGATGAAGATTTCGATACTACCAACCGCTCGAACCTGGAACTCCGTCATAATGAAAATGCGAGTGCTACACCTTCAACCAACAATCTAAAGAGGAAGCAACGTGCCGATTCGGGAAATGATGATAGTGATGTTTAGGCAAATGTTTTCATGTTTGTTAACGACAGTTTGTTTATAGCTGCTGAAGGATTTATGGACTGTGAATTGTTTTCCTTCTGTTGCACCCTCTTTTCCCCTCTTAATAATATCTCTGTTAGTTTGGGAACAATTAAGTAGAAGGTAATCAAGTAGCGTTGTGGTTTTTCGTTTGGGACAATGAATTCATTATCTCCTTTAACTTTAATGACTTCTTCGAATGTTGATTCCCATAATCATTTCAAACTCTAAATTAACGTAGTTTACATTTCACCACATGCAAAACTTATTGCCAAAATAATGGCATGTAAAACAACTACTCCCTGGTTATTAATACACTAATTACTCTAAAAGGGCCCAACCCAGTTCCTAGGAAAACAAAGAAGGCCATTCTTCTGGGCCATTATTGAGTCCACAAATCCCATAAACTAGATTCCGAAAATCACACCTCACATATATAATTCTTAACCAAAAAATCACACCTCACCGCCACTCCACCACCCACGTAGCACTCCACCACCCACGTCCTTCTTCTTATAAAGCCAGTTATTCCCGTCACCATACTTCTCATATTCCAACTATTTTTCATTCATACCCTAGAGATCTCATTATCCCAATCCAGCCTTCACTCTCACGCACTCAGAAAATGCCTGTTTACCCAATCGCACGCTTGACTCTTCATGGCAATCCGTGGCCTATCCGAGTTAGGCTGTTGAGGTTATGGGTCAAATTGGCTGCAAATGGCGATGCCATTCAACACGTCATGCTTTTGTTCCTTGACAAATTGGTAAGTATTTCTTGCTATTCACTATCTTAATAACAATGTCCTCCCACTGAATTATGTTCTGTGTTATTCTATATAGGGCGTACAGATTCAAGCTGTCATCCGTCGCTGTCATGTACACACATTTCTGCCGACATTTTGTCCAGGCGGGATATATAGAATCACCGATTTTGACGTTGAAGAAAGCTTCTCCTCCCAACGGGTTGCTGTAAATGATTTGATGATTTCGTTTCGTGGAAATACGTTGGTTGAACAGCTTGAAGAGTCATTGGATATCCCCCATTTCAGCTTTCGATTTTTGTCCTCCTGGGACTTCCCTCTTGCTGTGGCCAACCCATTATACCTCCCAGGTACCTTCTGCCTTTGCTTCTTTTTAGTTGTAGACAAATGTTTTACGTTCAATCGTCACAAGAACACTATATGACTCATGCTTCCATAATTATTTAGATTTGGTAGGTGTTGTAGTGAGCTGTGCGCCAATTATGTTGCCATACCCCACTGTTCCCACTCTTCGCAACAAACGAATCTTGCTCCGATTGCTTGAGTTAGTATGGATTCATATTTTAAAATTTTCCCTTCATTTACAATTATCCATATTTATTAACAATATTCACGTCATGTAGGGGAAACATAATTGAAATATTATTATGGGACTCTTTTATCCCAATGTTTGAAGCTCTTACAACCGATGATGCAGCAGTTGGTCAGGTTGTTGTTTTCACTTCTTTATTTATCCACAACAACGAAGGTACAAATCCTAAGGTCTCTTTTATTTACTTTTTATGTCTACATTTTTGCATGGTTGTTTTTTTTTTCATTGGATGACACTATATAGACTTTTTTTTTTATTATCGATCAACTGTCTGCCATTATTTTTTGAATGTTACATGTTCCTTAGGAAATTATTTCTTTCATGCCTCTCGAGCGACAAAGATTTATGTCAATCTTCATTGTCCCCGCGAGCACCCATTGTTAAATCAGTGAGTGTTTTTTATGCAATATATTGTTTGGGGATGAGAATTTATCCTAATATTATTAGTATTAAGATTACAAAAATTCCCCATATTAGGCAACTAAATGACTCCATGGCCGCACGACTGGCATATGCGGATGCCATCTCAAGATCTCAATATTCTTCAGTTCATGAACTCAACTCTGTTAAACGCGTCCAAGAGAATATGGTAAAATGAACCTCTACCTCTTAACATTGCTACCATTGTTATGATGATTTTTCCCATTCTCTTTTGATTTTGGGATTGACGAATTGACTCCTGATTTTGATTTGTGTAGGAAAACAATTACATATTTCGTGGTGAAGTGAAAGAAATAGCCATTTCCTGGGTTGACGCTTTTTGCGTATATATGGTCCACCTAACAATCGCAAATGAAGGAACAATAATTGAAGTCGTGTTTCCGTCATCTACGTTTAGAAGAATAGCTACCAATATTGTGGACATTGTTGACACTGCTTGGGGGGACTACTACTTCAACATTTTGGCTTCTCTACATGGAAATTCATACGAGTTTATGGTCAAAGTGGGAATGTGGAACAATTCCACCAATGAGTGTGATATGCTCTTGCAAAAAATATTTCCTCTTTAGGTCTACTTTCTTTTATTTAGCTTATATAATTGTGCATGGACTTAGACTTATTGTTTGAACTCTGTCCTTTCTGTTAAGTCCATGAACACAGGTCTCTTGGTTATGTAGCTTATTGCGAAACTAATTCATTTATTTCATCCTACTTAGTGCACTTTTTTTCACACCCGCCAAGTCTTTTACATTATACCTACCTAGGCCATGTGGAACGAAAAATCTTTCCTTTCAACCGAATGATCACCAAATCCGTTTATTTAAATGTACCACTCTACTGGTATGAACTAATATAAATACATGAAGCACAAAGGTTGATAGATCAACTACTATATTTAGACATAGATTTACGCTGAAAATTATCCATACAACCCAACCTGACTTCCTGGATCCTTTCCGGCCAACGGGCCGGGCTTACAACTAGTGAGTATATATGACCGAAATAAGGACATTTATTAACTATCATGGGCCCAGGTCGAACGCACAATCGAGGAAGCAGTGTTGGGCTTTTCTTTTTTCTTTCAGTTGGTAAACCCTAAACAGATAGAAAAAGGGTAAATAAATTATAGATGAACGCGGTGAGCGGCTGATGGGATCTTCACGGTCAAATCCGCGTATCATTTAGCTGTGGATCTCGATAGGAGGAGAGGGGGTGGCGATCAATGGTTGGTTGGATGGACAAGGAGTCGTGGATTCGGTTGTGGGATGCTGATATCCCGTCGAAACTGAAAGTATTTGTCTGGCAAATCCTCAATCGAATTTTGCCAACCACAGAGGCCCTTATTGAGAAACGTGTCCCGGTACATCCCCGATGTCCGGTGTGTTGGGCGAGTGCTGAAACGCTGGAGCATTTGTTCTTGGATTGCCCTGTGGCTCGTGCCCTCTGGGACTACTCTGGTCTGGGGCATCTAGGAGAGGGGCTCCCTCGTCATACTTTCCCTGTGTTCCTGAAGAAGTTGTTGGCGTTGCTTCACCAACCTACTCTGTTTATGGCTGTGGTGGCTGTCCTTTGGAGGATTTGGCGCTCGCGGAACTGGGTCGTTTTTGAAGGCAAGCAATTTGGGTTCCCAGCTTTAATGCGCCAGTTCCACCAGCAGTATGAGGAGTGGGTCCGGTTGCCTAAGGATAGGATCCCTAGGGGTGCCTCTCCCATGGTGGTTCCAAATGGTGAGCAGCCTAGCGGTCTTGATGGGACATGGAGTATGGTCTGTATGTGGGATGGGGCGGTGAGAAGGGGCTCGCACTCGGCGGGCGGATTGGTTCTTTTGACCCCTACGAGAGACGTTTGGCTGGTGAAGGGGATTTAACTACCCTGCATGGAGGACCCTATGGTGGTGGAATTGCTTGTCCTCCGGTAAGCGGCGTTCTGGTGCTTATCAATGGGCCTCACGGAAGTACAGTTTGAAGGGGATGCGAAGGTGCTCATTGATAAAATTAATCAGGAGGATGCCAGGGATAATCGGGTTGGTGCTATTCTGGAGGAGCTCTTGCATATTTTTAACAACTCGGGGTTTCGTGTTCGATTTGTTGGTCGGCTTAGCAATAGGGTAGCCCATATGGTGGGTCGTAAAGCCCTCTCTTTGTACCCGGCTCAGAGTCGTTTCTTTGATTTTCAGGCCTGGCTGAACGCCAGTATGTAATTATCTTTTTTCTGATCAATATAAGATTATCTTTTGTAAAAAAAAAAAAACGCGGCGAGCCATGTGACATACTGAAGACGATTATGAGTTGTTGGTAATTGATGTATAAATTTATTAAATTATTTTAAACTCACGAGATGTGTAAATATTGTGACTAGCAAATCAATTTAATAATGATTTATGAGAGAAACATACGTATCTTATGAGTTGTTTATTAATGATGCAATTATTTAGGATCATCTGTGTCTTATGAATTGTTTGTTAACTATGCTTAGATTTATTAAATTATATATCTCACCTCATGTGATGTTTAATAATTTGAGTATGTGAGCAAATATGTTTCATATATGACTTGAAGATCAATTAATCACATGTATCATATATATATGACATATAAATATTAACGTAATTAATTTATAAATTATCTTAAAGTTGAGCTTGAGCCAAAATTTCAATCTTAATGATGAGCCAAGATTCAGCAAATGAGTTTGTTCTTGCTCGGCTTGACTCGACTCGTTCATAAACGAGCAAAACTCGAGTTCAGCTCGTCAATAAACGAACGAAACCTGAACAATGCAAAACTCGATTCTAACTCGGTTCATTAACATCCCTATTTGTTCCCAAGTTTTGTAGATGCTCATTTTCATTTTAGCCATTTAATCATTCAATAAAGTAGCCATTTTATGTGATAATAACAAAGCGCCGTCCATAGCATTGGAATTGGATTGTGATGTACAAAAATGTCTATACTTTTCATCAAAATGTTGCATAGGCACAAGAAAAAGAAGAGAAGAAGATGTTGAAATTGATTAACAGCCAATTAGAAACATCTTTATCTTCCAAAAGCTAAGTAATTATGGATCACGGGAATTAATTAATAAAGAAATGGGAACCCTATAAGCTAAGCTCCAGATGTGTAGCCGATTGGCTCATCCGTCGATCAATCCATGGATTCTTCTTGTCGCCATCAGCTGCCTTCGGCGACTCGAATTGATGATATGGCCCTCTCGATGTAACCCTGCAGAGGGTTCAAGAACAAGATGGTTAATTACAGAACTAAAACTCTTTAGATTGATTGATCTAATTGCTAAAAGATCAATTGATTCGTTAATTACCTGTCTTTTCTCTTCTCCAAGAAGCGGTGAAGAGAAGCTCTTCTGGCAATCGGCAGGTCCGAACCCATCGGCCGGGGTTGCGGCGGCCGTAGGTGGCCGATCCGCTGGCCGGCGTCGGGGGACGTCGACGAGGAGGAAGCCGCCGCCGCCGCCGCGGTGTTGATGTTGTTATTAATCTGCTCGTCCTGAGATTTGTTATTGCTGCTAATCCCCTGCTGCTCGGAAACCAAGCCCACGATCTCCTTGGCCTTCTCCGCCGGGAAATCGTTGAACACGATGACTTTCCCGCCGTAGAAAATCGTCATCTGAGCGCCGCTTTCTCCCCCTGCTCCGGTCGTCGTAGATCCGAACCCGGTGAACCGGGGCAACGGCTTCCCGTCGTATAATTCGCGGCTCTCACCCTCCCGATTGGAGGAGGAGGAGCTGCCGATGCCCGGCAGAAGGTCCAGCGTCGTGGTCGGTGCAGCTGCTGGAAGAAAAAAAAAAATCAAATTAAGAAACAGAAAATCCATAAGTTTCAGATCTGAAATCAATTTCGATCTCGAAAATTTCCATTCCATTTTCTTCACGACTGATTAAACAACAACGAATTAATTACCTGATGAAGAAGATTTGTAACTAACGGGAGGCTGTTGGTGGTCGAAGTTGGCGGCGAGGCTGATATCTCCCAGATTGGCTTTCCCGGCCTTCAAGTACTGGCTCAGGAGGTTGCAGGTCTGCGCAAAAGTCGACTTTTCCGGCGCCGGAGATAACAGTAATTTCTTCACCATTTTTTTTTTCCGTTCCTGGCTTCTTCTTCGTTTGGCGACGGAGATTGAGATTTTTTCTTTCTGTGGATGGGGAAATTGGGGATTGGTTTGTGGGTTGAATGGGGAGGGGAAGGGTGATTTATAGATAAATATTTTTTAAATAAAAAAAGGGTTAGGTTGAGAGAGCACGTTCTTTGAAGCGGATTGGATTTAATTAGACCCACGAGTTTTTTGTTTCCTTTTGAAAACAAATGTATTGGATTCTTTCTTTCTTTCTTGTGGTGGGAGTGGGGCCCAGTCACCACCTTCTTGCTTTGTTCTTGATCTGCGGATGCTTTTGTTTTTCCCACACGTTTTTGTGTTGCTGAATATTAAAACTTGGCGTGGAGAGAGAGAGAGAGAGAGAGTAAAGTTAGATTTCTTATATTAGAAGAGCCGTGTTGTCACGGGGGACTCAAGAGATCACACTATTTCCGTGACCAAAACAGTCAATGAACTTTACAAGTTATAACAAAACGGTCACCCAACTTTTTTCTATATCAAAACAAAATTATTTCTCCTCTCGAGTCTCGTTTTTTTTTTTTTTTATAATTATTATGACATAGCTTGCCTACCGATTATTCAATTGTCACCTCTCCTTATGGCAATTTCAACCCGCTACTCGCAGGTATTATCCGACCTGATTCACGATTGGTTAGTGTTACCCAACCCGCAGTAGCGTGGGGTAGAGCATGAGTATTTACTCCCGATCCGCTCTGTCCCGTTCCGTCCCGTTCTAGAGCTATTTTATTTTAATTTTTTATAGCATCTATACATATTCATCCTATTTTGATTTTTCTTCAACTAGTTAGAGTCGATCTTTCAACTTATCAGACTCAATTACCCATTCTATTATCACTATTTTTCATTCATAAAGTGTTTTTCGCTTCGTTTTATCATAAAAAGTAAAATTTACGTGTACTTATTTTCAAGTAATAAGTAAGAGTGGGTCGACCCACCCCATCCCGTAGTAGCGTGGGACCGGACATGAGAATTGAGGTACCCGCCCCGCCCCGTTGTCATCACTAGTCTGCTTGTACAAAATTATAGTCTCAAATATATTTTTAAGAATCAAAGTCATCCCTCGCCGACTTTTATTTGCAGTCAACATAGCAAACCTCACACCATAGTAGTATTTGTTTCTTTAATGTTTGTAAATGATAATGATATTATGGTCTTGCTAGTTGGTATTCGCTAATTGTATGAATGCAGTTTAATTATTTGTGATTTTATATGTTGCAATTTGGATTATGATTTCTTGATAAATGTTAGTATTGTATTGATGTTGTTTATTATAATTATTATTTTATATTAACGATGTTGAAGTGTTGTAAAATTTGTTTTGAAATATTTGTATGATTATATTTATTATTAAAAAGAACACCACACAAATTTTTTTATTTAAAAATGTCGCATGTGGAGGTTGTTATTGGTTAATAGCTAACTGCCAAACTAACCGCTAACTGAACCTATACATAGGAATGGCAATTTCGACCTGACCCGAGTTACCTGACCTGTTTGACCTGTTTTGAGGCGGGGCGGGAATGGGTACCTCTCATCGACCCGACCTGCCCCGACCCGCCCATTCTCGACCCGTTCTTGCCTAAATTACATGTAATCTTAGTCAAATTACTTAGGATTTTCCTCTTATTACATCATATTTTAGGTATAAAAAAGTTTTAAATAAGTGAAACTCAATTTCTAAAAAAATTAACTACATTTTATCAAATTATGGTTTCTTTCTTGGTCTTTTAATTAAAATAACGAATAATTATAATGTTTTTCGCATAAATTATATACACAATGGGTCGAACTGCCCCGACCCGCGCCCCATGATAAATTATCCGACACCCAACCTGCCACGAGGCGAGTATGGGTATCGAGATACCCGTCCCGGACCTTACTCATTGCATTCCTACCTATAGAGACATATTTGATAAAACATCATCATAATAAAAGGCACATTATACCTTAAAAAAAACCCAATTTACATGCACCGTTCGCCTGTACTGAGCAGCTCGATGCCTCGATGGCATCAAGGGTTCGACGAGGAAGGTTTAGTTTAGCCAGATGCTATGCATGTGCCATTGCCAAAAACCCTGGTATATAACAATACAATATGAACATATTTGATCAATAATGCTGCATTATTTTATTAGTATCTATCGATCATTACACTGAGACGACGAATGCAAATTAAATTTAAAAAAAAAAAACTAATGGATTCATTGAAAAACAGAGGGGAAAACATGCAAAGAAGTCAAGAGAAACGACAGTGAGCGGCTTCGAAGGAACCTGCCTTAATTTCAGCTTCCTATTGTTGATCTTTCCAGATAAACAAAACCAGTTTATGAAAACGTTTTTAATTCCTTATTTATTGTGGCATATATATAACAGAAATAAGAATTTGTATGATGATGAATCCTGTGGCGATCTGTAGCACGTATCTAATTTTTAGGGTTGAAGATAGGGTGGAAGATGAGAGTTCTTTTGGATATGAAAGGGTTTCCTGATGATCTAATAACCTGCAATTCGATCCTTCTTCAGCCTCGAATATTTCCAACATGTGTTTTACCTTAGTTTGTATTCCTTAAGACATGCTATATGTCCATGAAGTCTCTTGATTAGCAAGTATTGCTCACAAGTGCCTTAGTATACAAGCTACGTTCCAACTTCTTAGATCATTGAACCCCAAACTCCCCTTCCTCTTTTGGTAAATTAAAGCAACCATCTTCCTACTAACTTTTGAGTTGCATTCTGTTCTGCCAGCATATGACAATAGTCTAGGCTTCCATCCTTTACTCCAAGTTATTTTGTCAATCAAAACCTTACGTTCTGCAGTATTCACTTTCCCATCTACTCCCAAATACATACCTAATTGGAAAAGAATCTTTTGAAACTGTTGGACTATATTGTAAACTAGAATTAGTTTAAAGACCATGTGTTATATTTGTTTATATTGGTGACTGTTTTGCTAGTTTATTATTTACAGCTTTTTTATATATATATATATATTGTAATAATAAACAATGTAAATTTACTTTTGATCGAATAAAAAAGGCAAAGTACACTTCCATAGCCATTACTTTCGTGTTTGTGACAACAATAGCCACTTTTGGAGAAATACCAAATATAGCCACTTCCGTACAATACTTTGACGATGTCATCTAACAAGTTGAGTGGACTAACAGAATTGCTGATTTGACAACGTTTCATCAACAACACTGCCACATAGGTTAATGTAAAATAAATAAAAATTTAATTTAATGAAAAAAATGAAAACCCATTTAACAAAAGACTTCCCAAACCCCTCCACCTACCCTCCTCCGCATTCCCCATTCTCCACTGTGCCCCAGCATCGTCCAACTCCAAGAACCCCAAATCCTTTTCAAACTCCCAAGTAGAGGTGGCAATTTCAATCCAATCCACCAATCCAATCCATCAATCCATTAAAAATATCCACCTAATCCAATCCATTTAAATCCAATCCATTTTATCCAAATCCAATTGGATTGGTTCCATGGATCATTGGCAAATTACAGTTTAGTACCTATAATTTTTATTTTTTACATTTTGGTACCTAAAAATTAATTTTTTATACGAAAAATATCATTGGAAAATTACGTTTTGGTACCTAAAATTTTTCATTATGACATTTTAGTACCTTAACTTTTTACATTTTACATATTGGTCCTTGGTTGAGGATATCATTTGGATTCATGGATAATCCACCAATCCACTTGATCCAATCCATGAATCCACTAATCCATTTGATCCATGGATCCATCAATCCAATCCACCAATCCACCAATCCAATCCATTTGCCACCTCTACTCCCAAGTACTCTTCTTTCCTCTTTCAAAGTCATACCATGCTTCTCACCTTCTGAAAATCCATGGTCATCGTCGTCCCTATCTAACCCCTAATTTTAAATCCCCACCCAAAGGTTAAATTTCTCCACCACGTCAATGCTCTCTATGTCGACGGAAAATAAATTGCAGACCCTTCTGCAAGTCACCGTCCTCAATCACCACATCATCAGCAACAATCAAGAAGCGGAGATGGAGAAGCAAGCAGTGTCGGGTCCAAATCGTTGTGGCCAATCCTCTTCTTCAATCCCTACTTCAAATCCTCTTCAATCGTCGTCGCCTCCCACCACTTCCGCCGCATCGTCCATATCTGCTTTCCAAGAGGAAGAACACGTCCAAGGGTTCGATTCGACGAGATTGCAGTGCAGACACCATAGTCGGCAGGAACTTTGTTCTGTGTTTTCAGATTTTGGATTTCGAAGGTGGATCTCGCAATGGCAGAGCATTGGGGGGCGTGTCCAGCGGAGGAAGTGGAAGCGACATTTGGTTGTGGGGTTGTTTGTCTATTGGCTACGACGATGGTGAGAATGGTGAATTGAAGGATATCTTGTCACTAATCTGCTCGATCTAGAGGCCATTTTGGGAGTCCCTTCTGGGTTTTGTGATGAATCGACGACGACGACAAAGCAGAAGACATCGAAAGCAGCTGGGTTCTTTTCGCAAGAAGAGAAGATATATTTAAAATGGGATTCGACATATATAAAATATTTTTTTAACTTAAAATGTGATGTGGCTGCCATGTGGCATGGGGAGTCTACGTGGACATGATGTGTTAGCTAGGTGGCAGCCACATCAGCCTAACATCCATTTAACTGTCGAAATAGTTGACGGTGTTAAAGTATTTGACGGAAATGGCTAAATTAGTCTAACAAGTTTTAAAAATGTGGCTATGTCTAGTATTTCTCAAAAAGTGGCTATTATTGTCACAAACGACCCTCCACCCCAACATTTATTTTTACTCGTTACCATCCTGGTAAAACTCTGTACCACCTTCATTTTTACTCAAAATTTAAAAATTGTACACAAAAGAAACGCATTCATCGTGATCTGTTGTGATCTACAAATTTATGGGGAAAATTTTAAGACAAAAAATATATCACTCTGGTATAGGTTGGTGACTGGTGGTAAACAATGATGAACTATGATAAATGATGGTTAGTATAATCTCACTATTATATATACAATTATTCTATACTTTAGTATATTTATATCACCATTGTTTAAAGACATGTAATATCAAACATTACCATCATAATATAAACTGATAATATATGCCTCAATTACTTTTTTTCAAAATATTCAAAGTGAAGAAAATTATGAAGATTTCAACTAATATGATTTTTATGTGTAAACTGTAAAGATTTTTAAATTCTGACTTAAAAACAAAAGAAATATAGTGATTAAATTTAATTGAGGAAATAACTATGCAGTAACCAACCGGGTTGCTAACTGGTCCCATCCTAGTTGTCGACATATTTCTCCTCCTTTTGTATTACTAATTTAATTAGTCAAAGAAAATCCCCATTGACTTACATATAATTATTATTATACATTTAAAATGGTACACAACAAATTAAACGTGCCTTCAAATTGAAAGCGATAAACCAAGGTAGCCAAGGTTGACTTCTATATGCATTTTTGTTTTCCAGTTAATTCCGAGTTTTGGCAATTTTAAGTATATATACATTAGTGTCTTGGACTGTCTTTCGTGGATTCCAAAAGCAACAAAGATTTTAAAGATTCCAATTTCATTGATTTTCCAAAGTTTTCCCACCACACCAAACAACTTATCTAAAGAATGACATATGATCTAAACCACAATCTCTTCATGAAAAGAAGGTTATCAACCTAAGTGTTACTACTTACTTAGGGTGGATTTGGATTGAAGGATTTGGATTTTTTATTTGGATTTTGATCTGAATTTTCAAATATTAAATTATTTATTTAAATATTAATTACATGTGGTATTTGAATTTGTATCAAATTTATGGAATAATTTCAAAATACATATTTAGTGTATTACTTGTGAACTTCAAACATATGTCAACTAAGTAATAATTTGAAATTCCTCTTAACAATATATTGGGCATGTTTGTCAACTTTGGCATAGCTATAACTGATTCAGTTGGTAGAATCAGTTTTATACTCGTTGATTCACTATTGGATGGCCATTTTTCTTACACCAAAGAAGATTCTTAAGAGTATCCAGAAAGTCTGTTCTGACTTTATCTGGCATGGGGATAAGTCATGCAGAGCTAAAGCTGCTTGGGATGTTATAGCTATGCCAAAGAAAGAAGGGGGGCTAGGCTTGAAGGACTTGATTACTTGGAATGTGGCTTCTGTGGCTCGTCTTATTTGGCTGCTTCTCCTGCAGGGGGGTAGCTTTTGGGTAGCCTGGATAAATCGATATAGACTCATAGGGATTTCAATATGGGAAGCAAAAGTAACGCAATCTGGGTCCTGGATCTGGAAGCAAATATTGAAGTTAGGACGTGGATTAGATTTTGAATGGATGTGGCTCAGGGTTGTGTGACATGGCTGGGTAGGCGATTGGATAAATACTCAGTCTCTGCTGTATGGGACACTATCAGGAGGAGGTAGCCTCATGTTAGCTGGTGGAAGGTTGTTTTGGAACAAGTTTGTATTACCTCGGAATAGTGTGCAGGTTTGGCTGATTATCATGGATCGACTCGCTATAAGGGACAAGCTTAAACTATGGGGTGGGATAAATGATAGCAGCTGTGTGCTATGTAATGTAGTAGAGGAATCTCGAGATCATCTTCTCTGTCAATGTCCTTTTATCCAGGAGATGACTGCTACTCTGTTGAGAGGAAGGGTAGTGTGCCTCGGAAGTTGGCCTGAACTGTTGGACAGAATTGCAGCCAGAGTTAGGGAGAAGGGGAGTTGTGGGAAGATTGAAGCATCGATCTGGTGCTGGTGTGTTAATGCTGTCTGGAAGGAGAGATGTCAAAGGGTCTTTGGGGAACAACCTCGTACTGCTGTTGTGTTGGCAGAGCAGCTAAGGGAGGAAGTCAGATTGTATTCTGTGGCTCTACCCGAGTTTCAGATCCTCTTAAGCAAAACCATGTCTTGCTGTAAATGTTTAGATGAGTAGGGGTTTTGTTTCTTTTGGTATTCCTTGTAAAGGACTGGTGTGGGCATTTTTTGCCTATGTGTTTTTCGAGCTCTTGTGTTGGTTTAGCCAAGAGGGTGCTTAATGGTAAAGCTAACTTACCGGGGGGGGGGGGGAAAATTATAACTTTACGACCAAATGTTCTAGGCCTCTTTGTAAATAAATTAAAGTTTATGTATTAAATGGTAAGAAAAATATAAGTTTGAATATGTACTTTTCGAGAAGTGTAATATGTGACAAAAATTCAAAACTAAAAAAATATAATATTTTAAATACCAACAAATAACACATGAATATTCAAACTAACATGAATTATATGTAATTTAAATGCAAGTATTTAAAATTCATGCATTTTAAATATACCTATCCAAACATACTAGTATATAAGCAAATCTATGTCACGTTCGTAAAGAAAAAAATATTCATAAATACCGGTACTTGGATTTCATTTTAGAATTTAAATCTTTGTCATATAGGTCGACCCTTCTATTTTTATCCCTAATTTGAAATATTAATTGTTAAGGTTTTGTTAATGCCAAGGTTTGTGTGTTGATACTCAAATTGTTAGTATAGTGCTAACACTAGTTTAAATCAATAGTGGAAAAAAAATTGATATTTTTTTTTTATCTCCAAGGGGTTGAATATAATTAATGTTGATTTTTAAAGGAAGGGACATGTTTGTCATTAAAAAAATTATAGGGTGCACAAGCCTGTGGCGATGCTCATTTATTATGTATCTCGCCCTTACCACAAGTTCATGAAATATACCACAAGACACATACCAGAAACAAAACAAACCACATCACAAATAACATAAAGTATATTAGAAAGCTTATAAAGCAACCATAACGTCACCATACCACAAAATTCATAAAACATACCAAAAAACTCAAAGCGGACAACAAGGATCTTAGAGCATAGCAGAGAAACCTCATAAGCAAACCCCAAGTTTATTAAAGCATATTATATCCTTCATTAAGCATACCACAAGTTCTCTGAAGCAGAACACAAGTTCACTGAAGCATACCATAGCATACCACAAGTTTCCTAAAGTAGAACCAGAAACATAATAAAGCGTACCACAAATTCCCTAAAGCAGACAAAAAATCTCATAAAGTAGACAACGAGTTTCAGAAGCATACTAGAAATCTCATCAAACAAATCACAACTTTCCAGAAGCGTACCCTACAACATACCAGAAGTCATGTACAACCACATAAGAACTCTCGTGGAGCATATAAAAAAGACAGAGGAATAACACCAGAAACCTCACAAAGCAAACTAGAAACATTATAGAGGATTACAAGTAATAAAAAATTATAATGGTGAAATAAATTTTATAATATATCTACATACCACTATCATATATTTGGTGGTAGTATATATTATAATGTACTACCAAACATTACCACTATGGTATAAACGGGTGATATATATATCTCCATTATTCGTTCCTAATTATATCAAAGTGAATATTATTTTAAAAATTATGATGAATGTGAATTGTCTATAAGCAAACAAATTACGACATAAAACGAATGAAATAGTGTCCGTTAAAATTCATTTGAAGAAAATTTGTTTTTTTCCCACGTAAACTATTAATGAAACTATTTATGGTTATACAAAATAAAGTCACTGGACCGATTTACTCCTTGTTAAAACCCTGTGCCCTCCCTTCAAATGAAATATTCTAGAAGTTGCACCCAACAGGAAAGAAAGAAAATGCTGGAAGGAAGGAAGGAAGTAACAGGGCATTGTTAGGTAAATAGATGCATCAAAGAAGACGTCTTGTCTGCTAAGATTGCCGACGAGTTAATCAGAAGACGCGTATTGCACGCGCATTGTTACGATCATCATCGCCAGACATACAACCCCAAATCCCAATAGTCAAAAGAACGAAAAAAAAAAATAACATGGATCTCAAACATGGTCCCATATTGCACCGTAAATTAGATAAAAATTTGAAAGGATTTTTAAGCCATATGTAATTAATTTGAGTTGTCGTTATCATTTGCCAATTTGGAAACCGTGTTACCCTTTTTTCCTTTTTTCCCCCTTGTGTTCAAACATTCACATGCATGCCTTGTTAGAGCTTCCTATATGCCAACCATATTGGACAGATGCCCAACTTGCTCGTTAAGTACATGCACACAATTATTAAAGCCAAAGAGAAAACGAGAAGATAGAATAGAGATAGAGTTATTCGTAGTTGAGTAAATTTGAAATAATTCATTAATGAGTTATTGTTAATACCTCATAAGGGTAGTTATTGTGAAATAACTCACAAATACCACATTCTCATTTTGTGAGGAATTTCACTTTAATATTAACTCGTTACATAACAATTCATCCAAACGACCCCCGGTATGAATTAAAAATCCAAAAATTTATCAAGAATTTGAGACATAATATATTAATGTCTTCTATCGTATATTAAATAAAATCTAAGATATTTCTACTTGTATTTGAAAGTTGAGAGCTGGGAGCCTCGACATGCATTCACCACCGTGACACGCTGCTGAAAATTATCGTCCTTCTGTTTTATAAAGTGCTTCTATCAAGGCAAGTGTTTTTTTACAGAAGAGGTGTTCAGTAGACTCTTTCTCTCTATCTCTTATTTTCCTCTTTCAAATTTTCCTCCGTCCTCTCTCTAACTTAGCCTTTCCTTTTCAGATTTCAGGGGCTACCGCCGGTCACCTTACGGGCGGTAGCCCAAGGATCCCTTTCTGTTTTTGTTCTTGCTTTCCAGCTCCATTACCTTTGTTTGTTTGCATTTTTTCCTTCGGATTTCTAGTTGTTTAGCTTTTCTTGCCTTTGTGGCTTTTCCAGTCCTTTTTCTAGGGTTCTTCTTCCTGGATTTGCTCTCCTTGGGGCTGGGTTATGCATCTTGGGCGACTCCTTCAATTCCTGTGGTGGTCACCTCTCAAGATGGTGGATTCTTTGTGCTGCATGGTGAATCCTTTCACCGGTTCCCTTGTTGTGTGGTCTGCCTCTTGGTCGTCGTCAGTGGGAGGAGGATGGTGTCTAATCCTGTTGGCCGTGGTGGCATCTCTTGGTTTGTGGGGATTCCGTTCGTTGGCTCTCGCCTTGACCAAGACTGGTACCTCGGTTCCCCCTGCCTTTTCAGCTCAGAGCATTTCGATTCTCAACCTTGACCACCGCCATGTAATCTCACATCTGCGATTCACTATGCTGAGACGTCTTCGAGCATCTCCCAGGAGGCGGCTAATGGCTTTGTTGTGTTCAATAGTCATGGTTTCGGTCGAATCGAAGGAGCTGGTTGTGTTTGGTGCTACTTTGGTTGATGTGGTTGCAAGAGAGATTTCTGGGTTTTCTGTTTTTGGATCTAGAGTTTTCAGATCCATTGTTTTAGTTTAATCATTCTGTGTTTGTGCTGCCATTGTATTCCTGAAGCACAGATTGTTTCAGCGGTGTGCTATTGGGATTTGCTCTTGATCTTTCTCTAGAAATCCTGTTAGTTTCTCTTGTAATTTGTCATTCAAAGTGCAATGCAAGCAATCTCTTTGTAAAAAAAAAGGCAAGTGTTTTCAAAGGATGGGTCAAGGAAAGATGTGACATATACAGTTATACATAGAAGACTCCAAATAGTCAACATATATAGTGGTGCCAAACTACAACTTGGTCCAAGTGGGAATTAAGTCCTTTGCCCCCTAAATCACTCTGTAATTAATTGACTTTGTGGCTTATGGATCGAAGTGGTGGTGGTAGAGGAGGAGGAAAAAACTAGCCCCAATAATTAATAGGGGTGAGCCCCATTCTTAGCGTATATTTAATTAGGCCAACCAAATTAAATTGGCAATTGGAAACTGTCTTTGAATTTCCCACAAGCAATGCAACCACCAAAGGGAACAAGCTAATCCAGATTCCAGTGGTCCTAATTTTAATTATCAAATAGTAAGTAAGCACCCATCATTAATATAATTAAGTGTGGAGAAACTTGCTTTCATTTTCTAGATGGAGATGACAAATGTGTTATTATTTGATTATTTAGAGAAGAAACAGTCTTGGTCACTTTTCTTGACATGTGGTCCAAATAATACAAAATTTGTAGCGTGTTGGACTCATTTGAAAGAGGGATTAGTTATCTAGGTTTGAATGCGTTTTATCATTAATATCCCCCATCATTTTGCACTCTTGTTAACAAAAAAGGAGGACGAAGGTAAATAAATGTAATGGAGGGTAGTTTAACATACGCACACACAGTGTAAGTTTAGACAAAAATACAAAGACTAATTTATAACCTTTCATGTACTATTACAACTTTCTATTGATATATAACTCCATTTCTGCATACAATCTCTCTATTGAGTGAACTAATTACGGGATTCTCAAAATCCAAGCATTCTACAACGTCCGTTTATCGAAATTCTCGAAATTCGTACAATATGCATTCAACCACCACTTAATTTGATGCTTCACTAGGGGGAATTATGTAGTTTTACTCCTTATATGCAATGAATAGGGACTACTATCCAACTATTTAATATTTCCCCCATTTTTGGTTTTTGGCATATCTCATTATCTCAAGATTTCGAATGCACTCCCTCCACCAAAACTCCCATCTGGCCGTTACCCCACACATCAAATTACAAGAAAAGAAACATAACATGTTGAATGTGAAAGGTGTCTAGTAGGAGAACCACATTCATTTTTAACTCGGAATTTTGAAAACTTTTGCCTAGAGGAAACGAGTTTATCGTGATATATTATATTTACAAGTTTATAGGGAAAAAATTTCAGGACAAAAAATACCGCTCTATTATACTACCCTGGTACATGGTGGTAACTAATGGTTTACGTTGATGATAGGTGGTAAATGAACGTTAATATATTTCTACTATCGTGTATGCAACAATTATACACTCTGGTGTGTTCATACCACCATGATATATACATGTGGCCACTAATTATAGATTTTCTTTGTAGTGTATGTTACTGCCAAGATATATGTGTTTTCAAAGAATGGGTCAAATAATGGTGTGACAAATATGCAGAAGACTCAAAATAGTCAACACAGTGTGAAGTCCTTTGTGTGAAGTCCTTTGCCCCCTGATGAAGTACCACTCTTCAATTTCTTGACTTTGTGGCTTATTTATGGATGCGGAGAAGGAAAAAAACTAGCCCCAACAATTAATATTAGTGAACCCTATTATTAGTTTATATTAATATGCATAAGAATTAATTTAGAAAAAAACATAAATTAAATTGGCAATTGGAAACTGTCTTTGAAATTTCCACATGCGATGCAACCAAAGGGAACAAGCTAATTCAGTGGTCCTAATTTCAATTTATTAAATAATAATTAAGCACCCATATAATTAATTAAGTGTGCAGCAAATCAAATTGGTTTCATTTTCTAGATGTAGTCATGTAGATGACAAATATTATTATTATTATTATTATTATTATTATTATTATTATTATTTTTAAGATTATTATGCCAAGAAATAGTTTCTCTTCTTGACACGTACGCGTGGTCCAGTGTGGGTACGACGGTAATATTCCACAGAGCTAGGCAGCCCATGGCCAAGCATGAGCAAAACGTGGGTGTTTGGTGGCTGTCTCCTTGTTGAATCGTCAGATCTGTAGCTGGCTACCCACCAAATCAACAAAAGCAAAGTGCTACCAATAATACTGATAATTTGACCAGAAAAACTTTTTAGCGAAAGTGAAATCAGTAGACGTAATTTAAAGGTACGAAACGATTGAATCACGGTTTTGATATAACATAACCATATTGCTTACTCTTCATGTATAATCTTAGGTATGATTTTTGGATCTTTGATACAAAAAAAAAGTTCGAACTAGGGACTCTAGGAAGAGATCTATGCAGTCAAACAATTATAGTGCGGTAATGTATTGGACTCATTTGACAAAGATACTAGGTAGGTTCGAATTAGTTCCATTAGTGACATCTCGCACTCTCTAGCATTCTTTTTTATATATATAAAGAGGACGGAGGAAAATAAGTGTCATCGAGGTTGGCATTTTCCAACTATTCCATACGATAGGTTCATCTATATATATTTTCAAATCCAAGAAGCAAACTCGTCGGACCTTTCAAGTATTTCATATACGCTCGACATCGTAAAAACTCTAATGAGAAGCTGTTTTTTTTTTGCAAAAGTTAAAGCAGGGCCAGACTAGTCAAGATCTGGACCGCACTCGCAATAGAAGTTTACAAAGCGTGATTTGATTTGAATCGTATAATATCTAGTCTCACCTCAAATCTGTGTCCCCCAACCCTTCAATCTAGACCATACAACCTAATATAATGCCACAGACATGCATCAGTGGACCCTTCAAAATTTTACAAAACTGAATTTTCCGTTTTTGGTATATGGAGAAAAATGTACAGTGGGACCATATAGCCAGTTTGATTTTGGGCATATCTCAATTTCTGGAGATTTCGAATGCACTTCGTAACTCACATCAAATAAGGCTAAATTACATGTTTGGTTACTCAAATTACATAAAACTTTCACGTTTGCCACCCGAATTACTTTTCTTTCTTATTCGACATTAACTTTACGAATCGTTTCACCCTAGCCACCGGCCGTTAGTTTCCGTTAAACTCCGTCAGTTTTACGATGACATGGCAAACAGACTGCTGACTTTTTCAATTACAAAAATATTAAAAATTAATTCACACCGGAGTGGCCGCAACGGCCACCGTGAACTTCCTTCTTTACTGCCAAATCCCACTATTCGGAGCAAATTCCGCCAAAACGCAACAATGGCGCCGGTCAAGTTCCTCTTCAGGTACGGCGGTCGAATCCTCCCACCCCATCACGGAGACACCAAGCTACTATACGAGTCGGCTAGACGACCAAGCCACCAGGGTCCTCTCCGTCAACAACGTCGACTACACCATTAATTGTCTCCTTCACCGACCTCATGTCCAAGCCACCACCACCGCCGTGGGTTGCTTCATCGGGACGGGCTTCGAGGCCAGAAAGTTACCTCTGGGTTTGGGAGTGAGCGTCGAGATTCGAAGAAGCTATGCTGGTGGTGTGCTATTGTACATATGGATAACTGCCGCCATGCCTGTCTTACATAGCTTTAAAAAAACGAAGAGATGAAATGGCAAACAGGGGAAGTGATGAAAAGAAGAAAAGACAGAGAGAGAGCATTGTATCAAGATCGCCATTGGGAGCGGACACTGGGGCTCAGAGGTTGACGAGCTTGGACGTAGGCCTGTCGGTTCGGTTTCGGGTTAACCCGAACCCGAACCGATTTGTACAGTGATGGTTTCGGTTTTTTCGGGTTCAACCCGAAATGAGTGTGCATCGGTTTCGGTTTACTCAAACCCGAAAAACCGAAAACAACCCGCCAAACCCGAAACTGCATCACGCTGTTCCTTCCCCTGTTTTGCTCCCCCACCCAAAACAGAGACAAAAGCTAACCATTATTGGAAAATGGCGGGCAGTATGAATTCAAGTTCAACAATTGTTTCCGTGAAAACAAGGTGCCAATTTTTCCATTTTGGGCAGATGGGTTCGAACATGAAGCAAGCGATCTTCGAGGAGCAAACAGCGAAGGCGCTGAGGAAATGGCAGAAGGCGGCGCAGGACAGGAAGAAGTTGAGGCAGGCAGGTGGGGAAGGAGCCAGTCCCCTGTCTTCGGGAGCTACTTCTCCCCGTCTGTTTAAGTTCGCCGGAGCGAAAGGCGGCGGAGGATTAGTGTTGACCAGCGGCGAGACGACAACGAGCACGACGGCGTCTCCGGTGCATTTGCTTCACAATTAAAAAAAAAAAAATACGGTTTCGGGTTCACCCGAATCGAACCGAAACCACCAGTGATTTTTCGGGTTTCTGAACCCGCAACCCGCAGAACACAAATTTGGGTTCGGTTTCGGGTTTGTAGGAGTCGGTTTTCGGATTTCGGTTTTTTGTGTTTTTCGGGTTCGGTTACCCGAACCGAACCGAACCGACAGGCCTACTTGGACGTGAGCTCGGTGGAGGAGACAGTTTTGGAGTCGAGGTCGTTGACGGAGAGGACGAGCCAGTGTTAATTTTTTTTATTTTCTTTCTAAATTCATGTTGACCAGCAGTCCGTTTGCCATGTCATCATAAAACTGATGGAGTTAACGGAAACTGACCGTCGATGGCTAGGGTGAAACGATTCATAAAGTTAATGACGAATAAGAAAGAAAAGTAATTCGAGTGGCAAACGTGAAAGATCTATGTAATTTGAGTGACCAAACATGTAATTTAGCCCATCAAATTATTATAAGAAAAGAAACAAAAACATGTTGAAATGTGAAGAAGAAGTGTCTAGTAGGTCTTTTCCATTATTATCGAAACCCACCCCACATGTCTCTTTGTACCTTCCTTATATTCTCCCTTAAGCTGACTTTCTAGAATTCCCATTTCTATTTTTTCATAAATAAAATTCACGATAGGATGTCCATAAAATATCCTATAGGGTATCACCATGTTTGCTTGTCATAGATAATTACACAAAGTAGTAAATGATTAATTATGAGATAATTTCTGCTCTGTGGTGAATATAATTGAATCTTAACCTCTTGATCCACGGATGAGGCAATCAACTCGCTAGAGAAAATGAATAATCCAACATACATTTACAACTACCAATCGAGTGGGCTGCAAACTTCCAAGATCTTTCAGGGAAGCAGAACACTTGGACCTAGACTTTGTTTTGGGACCATGCCAAGGCCCAACGTGATGAGTGATGACCCAGAGTTCTGATGGGCTTTTCTTAGCCCTAAATCAAATCACGACAATTCCTTTTGGGCCCTCTCATCTGATACAGTATGAAGTATATCAACCACCTATCTTCCTCAACAAGAGCACATTTTGTTTGTCAGCAGGTAAAAAGGAAAATAACGATTCTAAGTTTAATTAAAATTATGGTGTCATTTCACGCACTCACGGTACGTGTGATTAGGGATGGCAACTTTGCCCATACCCATGGGTTTCTTAGTATCCAACCCAATTGGGTTGGGTATGAAATCCAAATAGATGGATATGGGTAGAGTTTGATGGGTTTGTACCCATACCCATTTACTTTGGGTTGAGTTGGGTTTATATCAAATGGATTTGGATTTGTACCCATGCCCAAATACAAATTACAGTTTGGTACCCAAACTTAATAGATATGCATATTTAGTACCTAAATTTAATTTTTTTGCATATAAGTCCTCAAAATATCGATGGAAAATTACGTTTTGGTACCTAAATTTTTTTGGTCTTACATTTTGGTACCTAAACTTTTCAAGTTTTGCAAATAGGTCCAATTTTTGCATGTGTAGTTAAAACACCCTCAAATAAATGGATATCCATATCCAACCCATACCCATTTAGATTATGGAAGCCCCAAACCCATCTATAAACCCCCAAATCCATATGCACTTCACCCATACCCAACCCATTATCAATGGGTCTACTTGGGTTTGGGTATAATTACCCATGGGTGGGTAATTTGCCATCCCTACGTGTGATGGGTGAACAGGACTCGAAGACAAGATCTTTCGATCATATAAGGCTCTGATACTATGTCAATTTGGGTAATTGCCCACACCTTGGCGGAGGTTTTCCATCAGGTATAGATAGTAATTTTACTAAAATTATCATGACATTACTTTTATTATCTCGTAGGGTTATAGGTATTATATGCCCCTCTAATATGTCATTTTATCAAACATGCCCCTCTATTATTTTTTACATCAAACATGACCTAGAGAATTAAATCAGGGGAAGAAACTGACATTTTCCCTCCCATTTACCGATGTAAGGTCATCTAAATCATGGTTCAACCATGGTTGACAAAGAAAAATTTAATAGAAGAGCGTGTTTGATCATTTTTGCAAAGTAGAGAGACATGTTTGATGTAAAAAATAGTAGAGGGACATGTTTGATAAAATTGCATAGTAAAGAGGCATATTATACCTATAACCACCCGATATCATATTATGGCTATAATAAAGTTATAGAAAGAAACAAGAATCTTAATTTCTTGAATAATTTAATTACATTTGTCATATCGCAGTTTATTTCTTAATTTTCTTATGAAAAGTTAATGTTGCTAATGTTTTTTTTTAACATACATACCCATATAGTTCAACTCCCGGAACTCGCCTCCTATAATAAATTACCCAATCTGAATTTAATTTGTGACGAGACATAATGTAAAAAATACTCGTCTCTACCTACTCAGTTTCATTCCTAGCTTAAATAGTCGTCGTGGAAAAATGAGCTTTTTAGTTTGGTGTCCCCCATCTAATATGGTGTCTGTCGTGTCATTTTCCGTACGATTTCAACTCTGGATTTTCTTCAGTCATAATTAAAAAATAAAAGGAATTCAAGTTACCATTTTTTGCCTTGAAAAATATTGGTAATATTTTAAAAGGCTTAATTGCAAGTTTGCTCACTCGAATTGCTATAAAATTTCACGTTTGCCACTCAAATTAATTTATTCCATTTATAGTCACTCGAATTAATTGAACAGTTCAAGTTCGGTCACTCTCCGTTAACCTCCGTTAACTTTAACTGACGTGGCGGTCAACTCTGACAGTTGACCGTTAAATGTGTGACGTGGCAAATAAAAAATAATTAAAAATTAAAAATTAAATTTTTAGAAATTACACATCATTATCACAAAAAATTATAATTATAAAAAACTCGCCGCCATAGAATGGCAGACTAAACAAACAACTTTCTTGCCCAGGAAGTAATGAGCTCCTCCAAACCCCTCTTCAAGAAATCAGACGCATAGAAATTGAGAGATAACAGAATACCAACCTCGAGAAGAGCCGCCGCCGCTGCCGCCGCATTCGTATTCCAATTCCCATAGTAAGCGTCGCCGAGCATGGTGATTATCAGTACAGGGGAAGATAAGCTAGTAGAAACAAACCAACAAGACAAGAACCTCGGGAGATGGAGGACGTGGACCGAATCGGATGTAGAAGAGTGTTTTGAGTGTGGAAAGAAGGGATTTCAAAATCGGAATTCACAAGGAGAGGGGAATCAGTGAGGAAGAAGGATTTACAGGAGCAAGCAGAGAGTTTATTTTCTGGATGAAACGGCTAATCGAGCTGGGCAGGTTGGAACTTTTATAATACGAAACCCAATTTGGCGGTTTTGGAAGGGAGGGGAAGAGAGGAGCCAACAAGTTTTTTGGCCGCTGTTCCAATCCAAACAGTTCCTTCCTGTGTCTCTCAGCTTCGATTTGACCATCTCCAATCGCGCCACACGCAACAGCTTTCTCGCGTCGTCGACAGTCAGCCCGTCCGCGGCCGTCATGGTCTTCGCCGGTGACTCCGATTCCAACTCCTCAACCACAGCGGAGGAGGAACGAGCCCGTCCAATCGGACCCGGTCTCGGACAATGTCGAACGCCCTGAGCTTCTCCATTAGGCTGCCCCCCGCGCCGACCTGGAACGGCTTCGCTGACGAACCCTCTGCCGTCGCCGCGGCCCTGCGGTGGAACAAGCGGCGGAATCCGGTATTGTCTCCGGGATCGGGAGCAATGCCGGGCTTGCTCTGAGGTATCCGGCTGCGGACAGTGGCAGAGGACGAGATCCGGCAGTTGGTGAGCGACTGGGTGGTCGAGATTCATTTTTAGAAATTACACATTCATTTTTTATAATTATAATTTTTATTGATAATGATGTGTAGTTTCTAAAAATTTAATTTTTAATTATTTTTTATTTGCCACGTCACACATTTAACGGTCAACTGTAAGGGTTGACCGCCACGTCAGTCAAAGTTAACGGAGTTAACGGAGAGTGACCGAACTTGAATTGTTCAACTAATTCGAGTGACTATAAATGGAATAAATTAATTTGAGTGGCAAACGTGAAATTTTATAGCAATTCGAGTGACCAAACTTGCAATTAAGCCTATTTTAAAATGATCAATCTATCTCTAGAAGGAACGAATCTGGGCTTCCACATTTGGGCTGGACAACAGCATATTGAGATTTGGTTCTGTTTGCTCAAACACAAAAGGGTCTCGGCTCAGATGGAATCCACCAGCTCATGGTGATTCTCATCATGAATCATGATTCCATGACTACTACTTGTGTAAATATGAAACATAGCATTTGTGTGGATTAGTTGGCAAGTGATTTATTTTGTGATCTTTATTTAATTAACTCGTTTTTTTTTACTTTTAGTAGAAATAATTTTGTTATCCGTGTGATTTATTTGGGCGAGGTAGATAGTAATTAAAAATTTAATGACCGAACTAAAATTTATCTTACATATATCTATTTAAAAACTTATTTTCCACAAAATAAATCTACCTAACCTTTATGATCCACCCACCATCTCCCTTCCTTTGTTCCTCTTCCTCTCTTCCCCCTCTCTTCTTCTCCATATTTAGAGGTCAGACCAGGGCTTTCTGGAGGCCATTTTGAAGTAGGACTTAGGTCGAACCGGGGATTCGATAGGGGTTTAACAACTTTGGTCAAAGGTATTTATCTCGTTGAGAACTATCAACCAAACAATAACCTTGTCTCTTGGTGTGCAATATCAGCGTCTCAGAATACACCAACAACATCTTAACTAGATTTCTCAAAATAGCAAACCCAATTGACTAATAAGATATCATTACAAAGCTTCTTGTCTCGTATTCAAGGTTGTCAAACCGGTTTAAGTCATTGAGCCGGTTAACTAAGGGGTATGAGGTTTAATGGTCTGGTCGGGTCTGGCCGATTTTAGCTGTTGTAGACGTTTCTAAATATATATACAAATAAGTTAGTAATTAAAGATTTAATGACTGAAATTAAATTTATCTTATATGTAACTATTTTAAACTTATTTTCCACCGCTTAAATCTACCTAACCTCCATGATCCATCCACCAAGTCCCTTTCTTCGTTCCTCTGCCTCTCTTCTTTCCCCTCTTTAAGGGTCAGACCGGAGGATTTTTTGGAGGCCGTTTTGAAGCCCGATTTAGGTCGAATCGGGTCCAACTGGGAGTTCGATAGAATTTGACAACCTTGCTCGTATTGAAAGAGTGTCCATCAATCATCATCATAAGGAAATGGAAGAGGCGAAGTTCAAAAAGGCAATATGATCCCTCCAAAATTCCAGGCAATTTCCCTTTACAGGATATGAAAGATGATGCTCTACTGAAACTTCTTTCTTTATATCGCTTCACTTGTTTGTTTCCTCCCACTTTTTCAACCTTTCTTTTCCTTCTTTCTTTCCCAACAAAAATTTCCCATCGTCCAATCAAACTCCTCTCTCAATCATGAATCACCAATGGAATTCCAAGCAAATTTCCCAAACCATCAATCTCACAGGCAGGGAAAAAAAGTGAGATTATAAAAAAAAAGTCAAAAGCCGTTTTCACTTTTCAGCCACTGTATTATACGTTCTGAATAAGCAGGTCCTATTGCTATGAATTATGAAAAATGAGTCCTCCTCATGCCAATGTGCATAGATCGTATAAAAATACGGGCGAGATTAATAGTTCAAGTTACAATGATTCGAAAATTGAATACATCATTTTATTAACATAGTCGGATGATATTGTATGTTGTTACAAGTACACCACACAGTATAGCAGACATGTTAATATATAATATATATATTCATCAAAGTCCGATTGAAAGATGATGCTCTGCCGACAAGAATGCACTTGATAATTCAAGTTGTGTATTCAATAACAAGAATATATGTGATTTTTAAAGTTGGACTGAAAATGAGTTTTGACATACACTACGTAGTACTAAACTGTTTATCTAATCCATATGTTAAATTATTTTGTTTGGCGTTCGTTATTAATAGGGACGACATATGCTTGCACAAAATTTGATGATATACATTGTAAAATTGAGAATAGAGATTAAATTTTCTACATACCTAGCATGTTAAGTATTAGTTTGATTCCTACTCTAACTAGTTTTGCATGAACATCTTTACCATTGAAACTAGTAGAAAATGTGGAGGCATTTACTAAAATAATTAGTAGAAAAAAATCATGGCAAAAGGGAGTTGCTTTATTAAATTGGTATAGTATAGGGACTAACAATTAAAGAATGATAAAGCAAAATAAATTAAAAAAAAAGTTGCGGAGCCACCCGAAATTCCCGCAAAAACAAACAAATATATACAAAACTAAATAATAATTTCTGTTTTGATTTTGATTTTTTAATTTCCCCCCTCCCTTTCTCTGTTTCTTCTTCCCAATCTCATTCTTTCTTAGTTTCTTTCTTCTTCTTCCTCTGCGTAGCTCTTCCAATTTTTCACCAGTCAGTATTTCGCTGCTAAACGAAAATTTCTCCTTCCTCCTTTAACCGCCGCCAATCACTTCCCTGAATCCAAGCCTGAAGAACTCATCGACTTCCATTGATTGATTTCACAAAGTAAACAAACCCCTTTTGCTCACGGGTCTGATTCTTTGATTCCCCATCGAAGAATCAAACCGATTCAGTCCATAAAGGAGGTTGCTTTCTTCTTCTTCTTCTTCTTCTTCTCTTTCTTTCTTCCAAAGCTTGAATCTAATCCTTCAATGGCGTCGCCGGAGGAGACTGGCGGCGGGAGCGGGACCTGGAGTTGCAGCAATAACATCGATTTGGAAGAAGCCCAGAAGATAATTCTGCGGTGGGACTCGTCAGCGTCGGAAGAAGCTCGTGAAAAGATGATATTCGCCGGCGACCGTCATGAAGTGGATCGCTACCTGCTGGCGGTCGACGAAATCCAGCGCTCCATGTCCTCCGCTTCCATTTCCGCCGCCCCAACCGCCGACGGCGGCGGAAACGGAGAGGACAGTAAAGACCAGGTTCAAGATGAAGTCAACTCCGCCATCCAGATCGCCATGGCTCGACTCGAGGACGAGTTCCGCAACATCCTCCTTAGCCACACCGCCCCAATCGAAGAAGACGCTCTCACCGATAACCCCGCCGCCGCCGCCGCCGTCGAGTCCTCCAACTCCGCCGCAGAATCCTCCACCGCCGCTGGCGAATCGGTGGAAGAAGATCGCCTCTCCGGAAGCGGAGGCAGCGGCCCGCAAGTCGTCGAAGAGACCAATCTCAACCTCTCAGATCCAATCCCGCGCACCGACTCCTCCGTCAGCAACAGCTCCGGTAGCTACCGATCGACGAGCAGCATCAAGGAGCTCGATCTGATCCCCGAGGAAGCGGTTTCCGACCTTCGCTGCATCGCTGAGAGGATGGTCTCCGCCGGATACCTCCGCGAGTGCATCCAGGTGTATGGCAGCGTCCGCAAATCCGCGGTCGATTCCAGTTTCCGTCGCCTGGGGATCGAGAAACTAAGCATCGGCGACATCCAGCGCCTCGAGTGGGATTCTCTCGAGAGCAAGATCAGGCGGTGGATTCGCGCCGCCAAAGTCTGCGTCAGAATCCTGTTCGCCAGTGAGAAGAAGCTCTGCGAGCAGATATTCGACGGAATCGAGACAGCTGCCGTCGATGAAGCTTGCTTCGTCGAAACGGTAAAAGGCCCTGCAGTCCAGCTCTTCAATTTCGCCGAAGCAGTCAGCATCAGCCGCCGCTCGCCGGAGAAAATGTTCAAGATCCTCGACCTTCACGATGCTCTAGTTGACCTAATGCCGGACATCGAATCCGTTTTCGACTCGAAATCGGCCGATTCGATTCGAGTTCAAGCCGCCGAGATCCTCTCTCGACTCGCCGAGGCAGCCCGAGGGATACTCTCCGAGTTCGAGAACGCAGTCCTCCGAGAGCCTTCCAAAATTCCGGTCCCCGGAGGAACAATTCATCCATTAACGAGGTACGTGATGAACTACATTAGCTTGATCTCCGATTACAAGCAAACATTGCTCGAGCTCATAATGTCGAAACCCTCCACGGGTTCGAGATACTCCGGGGACCCCACGACCCCGGACATGGAGTTCGCCGAGCTAGAATCAAAACCACCACTTGCCCTGCACTTGATATGGATCATAGTGATTCTCCAATTCAACCTAGATGGGAAGTCCAAGCTTTACAAAGATGCATCATTAGCCCATCTCTTCCTGATGAACAATGTGCACTACATTGTTCAGAAGGTGAAAGGGTCGATGGAGTTGAGAGAGATGATTGGAGATTATTACTTGAGGAAGCTAACTGGGAAGCTTAGGCAATCTGCAACGAATTACCAGAGGGCGACTTGGGTTGGGGTCTTGTACTGCTTGAGAGATGAAGGCTTGCATGTGAGTGGGAGCTTTTCGTCTGGTGTTTCGAAGAGTGCATTGAGGGAGAGGTTCAAGAGCTTCAATGGCATGTTTGAGGAGGTTCATAGGACTCAGGCAACATGGTTGATACCCGATACTCAGCTGCGAGAGGAGCTGAGGATTTCGATATCGGAGAAGCTGATCCCTGCTTATCGATCATTTTTGGGGAGATTCAGGAGTCACATTGAGAGCGGGAGACATCCAGAGAACTATATCAAGTACTCAGTTGAGGATTTGGAAAGTGCGGTGTTGGATTTCTTTGAGGGCTGCCCTGCTTCGCAGCACTCGAGGAAGAGGTCTCAGTGAAGAAAGAAGGAAGAGTTTTTGGACCCGACTTAGAGGTGAAACAAAGCTTTAGGACACCATTCTTTGAATTCTTTTCTGTGTGGGAGTGTTCAGGGTTGAGAGGATCGGTTTGCTGCTGCTGCTTTTGCTGCAATGTGCTACTGATGGAAAGGATCGAATGTCTGATGTTCGATAGTGGAACGATGGAGAAGAAGTGAGCTCGGTTCTCTCAACCTGAATGCTTCTGCACTGTAAGCAAATGCATTGTTTGTTTTCTTAACTTCTGTCATATGATCACAAGTCTTAGATTTTTTCGTTTTTCCAATTTGGTTGTCATTTGTTCATATGGGGGAACTGTTGTAAACGTGTGATCTGCTCTTACTACTACTACTTGGCCCTTCTTTCCCCCTTTTTCCTGATACGATGAAGAAACCCAGTTTCCATTCTTCTGCCATTCTTTCTGCTGCAAATGAATCTCTTACTGCTGGCTTGGATGACGTTGGAATGAATACGCCTGCTGCATTTTAGTTTGGAAAAAAAAAAGAACAAGATAGATATGGGTTCTGTATCTTTTGTCTAGTTCTAGAAGTTGATAAGAACATAACTGAATTTTGCCAAGCGTGTTTCATGGGAATCATTTGAAGATGCTAAATGGGGTTTCCATTCCAGGAAAAGAAAGGAGAGACTTTTTCCAAATTGAACTGCCAAACTTATGATTTTAGAAGGATGTTCTAGGGTATGGGTTGTCAGTTTAGTTACATGTGTGGTCTGGTTATTCATGGCTCAAAGGTGTCTTCAACGACGGTGCGCGTCGATGGTGAAGTTGAAGTCTGAGTTTCTTAGATTGAGAAACCTCGACTTGAAACTGCTGCTAGGTCGATTGAAAGCACCAAAAAACGTGTCTGGTTGAAGAAGAAGAAGATGCCTTGGTTTGGTTGAAATGAAAGTTGGGAAGAGGGGGATAATCTTCCAAGTTGTGGTGGTCACAGCTAGCTAGAGTAGGATGGGAGCCATTAATTTGATTTGATAATCATGCTGCTCTGCTCCTCATTCTGTTGCGTTGTGAGTTGTGCTCATCACATCGAATTTCAGACAGATTATTAGAATGGGGCCAACTCACAGGCTTAGGCTGTCACAAAATTGATTGATTGGTTTCTATTTTTATTAATAATGGATTGAGATTGGAATGTCAGCTCTCCCTCCCTCACCACCACAAACCTCCCATTCACATTTGATTCCCTTGTTATGCTTGAGCTTGGAAGGACATCTAAGTAGTTACACCATGTGCCCTAATTGTTTGTTAATGTTGTCTCAGTTTCTCCAACGATGTTACCTTTTGATAAATATATTTGCGAGATATGACATGAGTTGTAGGACTTGACGTGTGACTAATTAAACAATTTTATACGATTGAAATAGTATAGAATCAATTTAAAACCATGACTTCGGAAAAAAAACCCAGCTAAATCAAAACTAACCCAATTATAAATCTCATCCATCTTCACAATTCTTTGAATCAAATATGGCCACCTTCACAAATGGATTTATTACATAGAGAAAACAAGTCTATCTCGGTTTTCTTCTCCCAAAAGAAGGGAAAAGAAATATGACCCAAAATCAACCCGCCAAAATAGACCATGCTAAGAAGTAAGAAGGGAGTTGTCTCAACTTTGATCCTTCCATCTTCTTGCTTAATTCCTTTGCTACTTTCGCCACTTGTTTTCGTATGATACAATTGGTACCTCCGACTCGATCACGAAACCCCATATCATAAACGGTTTATCCAAAATGGATCTCGTATTATCTAATAAACAGAGGTGTACAACCATTTTTTGGTTCATATTTGGATCGAACCACATAAACCACTTCAAAAATAAGGTTGCTCCTTGCTAGTCCAAAGAGCTATCACTCCCCCATTAAATATTATGTTCTTCTTTCTCTCTTAAAAAAACAGCCATTATTGGTGGCCTACTGAATGTTGCAGCTATTTTCACAAAAGAGCTGATACAGATGCCCTGGCCAATGCCTTTCAGTTAATTCAGTTAACAAACACGTTCTGAAAAAGGCAAAACAATTCAATGTCCCTGTCTTCAGAACCTACCAAAAGGGTTTGGTAATGGAAAGAGACATTGCAAACTAGAGGAGAAGGTTTCTACAAATTTATAAATGGGGTCTCACAAATTAAAATAAGAACAGCAGCAGCAAAAAGCCACCTTCTCAGGAAAACTCCCTATATAACAACCTATGTGTGGCAAAATACATCGAGGGGAACATCAGGAGCCAAATAAACAAGGAAAAGTAAGAAATTTATACAAGAAACTAAGAGGTAAGAAGGGTAACAAAACACCTCAATCTCTCACTATTACAAAAGAAACAAAAGGCATACATCCTCAAGTTAAGCTTAACGATAGTCCAATGTTCAAACATTACCATGTGCGATCGTACTACCCTTCTGTTACGCCGTCTTCTCTTCTCCTGTGTCGTCATCGGTTGCTCCATTGCTATTTGTGACTGGTCTGGACTCAGGCGCATGTAGACCATCCTTTGTGGGGTAGGAAGCTGGTTTGATGAGTCTCAAGGAACTCTCGTCCTTGTCAAACTCTTCGTTGGTGTCGTCGGAGTAAGAATACCTGATGCACGAAGAAAGGAGAAAGCTATGGTAAAGCTACTTTGGATTAGGTTTGATTGCATAACGAGCCAGGTGATCTAATTGTCTCAGTGCAGATTCTTTCTCTGGTTAATATTCATTCGCAGTGCTGGCAACTGCACATGCTCATCGAACTCTAGGATGCCAGTGGTAGTTTTTGATGAGAAATGACTTACCGCATTGAGTTTTGAGAGGGAGCCCAAAGAGCACAGATGACACAGAGGAGAGAGAAGGAGAGGAATTGCCAGAAAGCCGGGATGACCCATGCGTTCTGCCAATGCTCATTGTAAACATCACGCGATTTGAAGTACAACTGCAAGCAGCAAACTAATCGAGTAAGCAGCAATATACTTGGACACTCCATTTCATATGATATAATCACAACAAACGGTCTGTGCACTGAACATCTTTAGACTTTAATCAAGCAAGAACGATTACCTCGTAGCAAATCCAACCAACTGAAACAACAACTGCTACTGCCAAAGCGTTTGTGAACTTCCGGTATATGTCCAGCTTGACCATCATTCTTCTTGCCTGCACATATATTCATAAGTAGTAGGAGAAAGCAAATATCAAGAGGGCAAAGAAAGCAATGTGTTCATTCCATACTTCAGCAACAAGTCCGTTGAAAACCGAAGTTCAATGAATGATTTTTTAGTGACCCCAAAGTTTAATAACCCTTTATGCAAGCATGAATCAATTGAATTATAGTCAGGCTACCTGAAGTTTATTCAACGTGGCAGAAAGCGACTTGAATACCCAGAGGATGAAGAAAGCATCCAAGAGTGCAACAGGGAGAACCAAGAACAGTATTGCCTTGCCCGAAATGTCGCTCACAGCACCAACATTCTCCACCAACTCAAGCACTTCCGAAGTCAAGAAAAACGTCCCTCCTAGCATTAGCACCTTCGAAGTGAGCCCTCCCAACGTCGGCCTCACCACCCCATATCCCATCGACACAATCAGTATCACTAGACGTGCCACTGTGCGCTTCACAGTGCCAAATGTAACCGCCCACACAGTAGTCCCAGTCGGCCGAACCCCAGTCTCGTTGAACTCCGCATAGTCAAAGTACCACAATGCCATCTCAAACATCCCCAAGGTAATCACCAGAGTAATGCAGTTCTGCAATGGGAAAACTTCCTTCCAAAACCGGGCGTACTGTGAGAACCAGAATATCCCGAGTATGACAAATGCAATAGACATGAATGCATAGAAGTTCATCAGTGGGGCCATCCTTCCAGGGAGGTATCCTGTAGGGTTCTTCCATATAGTTTTCCCTTCTTCTACTACCACGTCTTTAAGATTTGGGTCGCAGATCATGAAGTATAAGTTGTACATGCCAGTTTTGGTGATCTCGATCGACCTCGATGGCAGTATCGCCACGTCTTTGTCAAGACTGAAAGAGGTGGTGAGTACATAGGGGAAGCCTGGATTTGTTGTTGACGGCCGATGGATGATCTCGCCTTGAGTGCAGGCATCAAGTTTGGCGAGATCGGGAGTACAGCAGATTGCTCTCTGGCCACCATAGGCTGAACCACCGATCAGCTCTCTATCTTCTACTTCGAATATGATAGCTTGGACTAGTCCTGAAGTGAAGTTGTGCAAGTCCTCGGGTCTTCGGAATGTGACCTTTTCGAGGCTGGTGATAGATCACCACTAATGCAAGTTAGTTAAGTGGAGCCAAAGAAAAACAATGAAGTTATCAGAACGCAACCACCTAGCTTGTAAGGAAACCCACAAAACAAGCAAACCAGGCACTATGTCTGTTAATGCTTGCAGCTATAATTGTGTAATTCTACAAATAATAACAACTCAGATGGCATAGAACTCCATTGATGCACGTGAGACCTTATTCCAGATGAAATGGAAGGCATTAGGCTATTTAGAAGGGAACTAAAGGTCCAAAACAATTACTTGTAAAACCTAAGATTGCATTCTTGGACTATAATGTAGCATCAATGACCTTGTTGTCTGGATTCTTCACTCACAATTTGATCTTCGGAAACTTGCCCATCGATTTGAACAAACTCATGCCCACAAAACACAAAGCTGAAACAGTCAATCCTGCTAAACTTTTGCCATGTCCCACAATCGAATCTTTCTACCTCAATTCTCTCTTGAATTTCTGCAACTAAACAAAGAGACCCCACACCACAAATGGAAACAAGAGAGGAAGAGTTATTACCGAATGAAAGCATCTCCATTAGCGGCCATGTCGGTGAGATTGGAAGAAGGCCGGGAGAAATAAATTCCTTCACTGCCGCCATGAACGACCAAGGCATTCCCTCTCCCCACGAATTTCTCCCCCTTATACTCGTGGACCGAACCCTCAACCAGAAATCCCGCGATAGAAAATAGAGCACTGAAAAGGAACAAACTTGACATTGATCTGAGCAGTAGCCTGAACATTCTGCTAACGAAGAAAGGTAGCAAATTTCTGGATCTAACCCGACCCAGTTTAGATCTTGCTTTGTTGGAAATGCCCAAGCTGAAGAAGAAGAAGAAGAAAGGTGTGGACTTTAGAAGTGAGGGGACAGTAATTAACTACAGGGTTCCGATTTCAGTGAAATTAGAGTTATTACTGTTAGTACTTAGTACCTAGTACATCGTCATTTTGATCAAAGTCAGGGAGTGATGTGAGCCGTTGGATTTGTTGACTTTCAATGAAGATTGAATGGATGGCTGTGAGTGTTGCAGGATCTAGGGAATAATAAGACGAAAAGAGGTTGTCGGTTCTCAGGCTGGCTGGCTGTCAACTGTCATCGATCGTAAGTAATTAAAGGCAGGGTGACATTCACATATCACTTACCATATTTAAGTTTCTTCAGTAATTAGAAGATTCAATCAAATTGACAGTAGATCGAGAATGAACAGAAGTGAGCAGAAACAAAGTGATGACGTTGTAATACGGTATCATGTTGAGATTTTAGAAGAATACTACTGAGTTGGATTCTCAAGAACTAATGAGCTACCATTTCTGTGAGGGGGCAAGTACCAACTACCAGAAGTCTGGTCAGGCCGTCTTTATATCTTTTGCTGTGTATAGAAAGCGACTTTGGTTCACTTTTCGCTCAGAGCTAGCCCGACTTTTAGGCCCAACAATTACACACAGCAAAGCAGAGCTTACAAATGGCAACGCCCATCTCCCCAACATTCACCTGCAGATTATTTGGAAAAGGGGTCCAGAGTTGTTTTATGCTCCAACAAAATGGTAAGAGAAGGAAGCTGCATGAAACCGAAAGGAGAAGAAGAAAGCACTTGGATAAAATTTGTGGATACAAAGGTTCTGAACAACTGTTACAATCGATACTCCCTTAAGATGATGATAAGACAAAAAGAAGAGAAGAAAAGAGGAGGAGACAGAGCAGAGAAGCAGAAAAGACCGATCTAACAAATACCACAACCACACCTACATTCAAAACCACCCATGGACCGCTATAAAATACGTGCAGACCATATTAGCTGGTTCTCAGACTTATGTTTTACGAGCCACCTTTCATTCTAACTGCTCCTGCTGCTAATCCAGATCAAGAAACTCCATTCTCTTTCGCATTGTGCCCTTCAAATCCGATGCTTCCCTTTCTGCTTTCTGCGCCTGCCAGACATTTATGAAAACCGCAACTTTAATATGTGGCTGTTTAAGTTCAGGATGATTTGAGTAACACTCAAACTAGATGATGCTCTCTAAGGTCTCAAACAACCACTTAGGTAACACCATCACACATGTCTTTGGTAAGCTCAACCGCTCATGTAAGATTTCAATGGAGTCAAATTCTAAATTACCACATTAGTAGAACTCTTTTTCCAACAACAAATGGCATCAGTACGTGCATGGGATAGCTCGTATATAGCTCTGATCATGATAATAAAGCTACACCCCCTTACTCTGGTTTCCTGTTATCTAAATTGTTCCGACGTGAATGAGAAAAGTCCAGAAATAAGTCTAAGCCCAACATGGCGATGCTGTACAGCATAGGAGACGCCATTTAGATTTCAGTATTCACCTATTCACCAAGTCTCAAGCAAGCCCCTATTTACATCACCAAGTCTACGCATATAGAAACAATTAGATAGAGAGAAAAGAGGAACAAAGACTCACCCTCCTAATTTCTGCGGCTGAAACACAAGTCATTTGCGGAGGAAGCTCCTCCCTTTCCAAATCCTAATGTAAGTATGAAAATCATAAGAAAAAGTGCAAAACAAATGGAAGTAGCCGAAAGAAGATAAAAATTAGGGAATATACCAATTCTCCAATTAAAACAACATTCTCGCCTCGAATTACATAGAGACCTAATGGAATGTCACAGTAAAGTTCCCCAACAATTACTCTTTCGCATGCACCCTCAAGGACAGCATTTGCTGCAGATACGACCATTCAACTCGTGAGAAACTCACAAAAGAGGTCTTTTGTTTAAACGGTATCAGTCCCGGGAAGAGAAAGAACCTACCGAATTGATCGAAAGAGCGAAGTATTCCCATAAGTTTCCGGCCATCTCGCAGGAGCACGAGAAGCTTTTCTGAAACCATAAGCAAGCCAATATGAGACTGGAAACAACTAGAGACTATACAGAACAATGAACATTTAGAAAACCTGAATTCCCTATGGAATAGACAAACGATGGTCATTGATTCTTCAAGATAAGATAAACGGTTTTTAACATAATCAACTGACTCAATATCTTGACCAATTACAAGCATTCATATGTCACTTCAACGGTAATAGAATAACAATCAGATCATGCAACAGAAACAAAGACACCAAAAGACAATATTGAAGCAGGAAAAAACGAGTCCCCATTTCAAGAAACAGAAGTAAACTTAAACTCTAGTGTGGAGAGCGAGCTTACTATCAAGATAACTGGCGAGAGAAGTCGAGAGGTAGATATCTTCCCCTGCCAACGACATTGGTAAAGCTAAAGCTTCAAACTTTCCGGCACAGCAAAAGAACACACCGAAAAATTACTTGAATGCCAATCCAGAATATATAGCATTGGCTGCTCCCAATCCCCCCGCCTTTTTATTCCCACCCAAAACCTCTCGCCCTGCTTCTCCAATCAGAATAATTTAGCAGAGCAAATCAATGGCGTGCAAAGAGAACACCAAACAAAAGCCACGAACCCCAGCAAAAGTGAAGTCAAACACAGAGCTGCCCCAAGTCGCCAACCAAACCCTCTGAACCCCAGTAAATTCAGATTGCAACCCTAAATTGGAAAACTAATAAGTTGCAGGGATCAAGAGAGGCCCAAGGACGAAGGCGAAAAGACTCGAACTTTCCTTCTCCGACGGATCAAAGGAACTGAGCGGGGTGTCAGTAAAAACGAGACGGACCCAGATCCAATCGAGCCGAAAGAAGTAGATGGGCAGAGGGAGAGTGGAGGCGTCGCCCACGGAGTCAGAAAAGCGGGAATCTTTGAGGATGGATAGATAGAATTGGGGGATTAGGGTTTTCTGGGAGAATTAATGCATTGTGGAAATTGGGCAATCGGCCGATGAGTGGAGAATTAAAGACCTATCGGAAGCAGCACTTGGCCTGGCTGGATATTGGTTTGCTAGCTTCAGCTCGGAAGTCGGAAGTAAATGTATTGGGTAAATTGCAAATTTCGTAAACATTACAAAAATCGATAAAAATAACTCAAATTTGAGAATTGAAACAAACATATTATTTAAGTTTGAATATAGGGTCGCGTACCATTAAAGTCGCCAAAAATACATTGGTCTAGTTTTCCATTCAATTCAATACTTTAATTATCTTTTAGTACCCAAAATTTTTTAAAACATCCAAAACTATAATTCAACGAGTATTATCTAATATAAAAATTAGAAAACAATTTAAACATATTATTACTAGAAGGATTAATGAAATATTTTCAATAAAATCGAGAAATTAGTAATATTAATAAACAAATATCAAGAAGGAATTAATAAATATACTAGAAGATAATAATAAATATTTAAAATCAATAAAATTAGAAGAACCACTAAAAATAGTTAAAATAAAACCTAATCGACCATCAATACATAAAGACCAACGAATGATAAATGAAACACTATCATATCGAATTAAACATATTCTAGTAATTAAAAAAAATTAGAACTAAAACAAACGAAAAATAACCAAGTAATATGTAAAAGCTACAAAATTTAGCCTTAAATCTAGAAGATGTGAGATTTTTATTGGGTAAAATATATTGGGTACCTTTTTTTCTTTTATAATGGTTACATAATTTATTAATTAGAATTTTTGGAAAAAACAAACAAACAAAACAAACATTTTTTTATCTCTTGTAGCACGTAAGTTTGGGAATTGAGTTATACATACCACTTAAATTTGAATAAGGTGTCGGGTACCATTAAAATCACCAAAAGATGCATTCTTTTAGATTTCCATCCAACCCGAACTTTTAATTACCTTTTGGTATCCAAAATTTTTAAAAACATCCAAAAACTATATTACAACAAGTATTATCTAATAAAAAATTAAAAAATTAGTATTACTAGAATAACTAATGAAATTTTTTCAATAAATTAGATAAATTAGTAGGATATATTTTCTTCATAAAATAATTCAATTATTATAGCACATAATGATTATTAAAAATATTTATAATGATTTTTTATTCTAAATTTTCTATTCAAAAATTGATTTGATATCAAAGTCTTCAAAAGAGATTCAAACTAAACAATTAAAAAATGATGTTTTTCAGAAGTTCAAAGGATTTTTAGAATATGAAAAGTAGAAGGATCAATTCTAAACTTAAGTGGTATCAGGTGCACATATAATAGAGTTCAATGACACGCGATGCCCATTCTTACTTAAGTGGTATAACTCACCCAATTCTCATATTTTGGTGGTGCGTGAGGTATTTTACCCGATGTTTGTTACTAAAATATTTTATTTCATTATTGGTCATTTAGATTAGTTAAGTAGTCAAAGTTTGGTCACTCATCGTTACCTTTAGCTAGTCTATGTTACCGCTGTCAGTTAATTGATGACGTGTCTAACAGAAACGCCTAGTCATCCAATTTTACCCTCGAAAAATTAAAACACAATCCACCACGTCATAAAAACTTCAAGCATAAGGAAGGCAACATCACCTCCATAAAAAATACCAACCACTCCAGCTTGTGGTGTGCTATTCTGAAGGGAATGAAGATCATGAATGAAGCCACATGCTGGAGTATTCGTGATGGAAGATCAACCTTGTTCTGGTCCCAACCCTGGCTGGATAATGGTCTCTTGTTGGAGGATTTTTCCCTTAGGGACTTGTCTGCCCATGATCTGGACTCTAGGGTTGCGGATTGGACAACTGATGAGGGAGAATGGGACTGGGAGAAGCTTAAGGAATCCTTGCCTAGTGATATCCTTACTATGGTTGCAGGGATGGAGGCACCTAAACCAGATCTGGGTGAGGATATCACCATTTGGGGGCTTGAAAGGGATGGGAAGTTCAGACTTAAGTCAGCCTACAAGCTTGTCAGCGAGGAAGCAGTGGTCTCAACCAACCACTCCTGGAAAGAGCTATGGAAATGGAAATGTCCAAGTAGAATCAAACATTTCTTGTGGTTGGTGCTTCATGATCGCTTGTTTACAAACAAGGAAAGATCTAGAAGAGGAATGACTACTGACAAGGTCTGCCCTCACTGCAAAACTTAAGAAGAGACTATTGACCATATCCTGCGCGGATGCCAGAAAGCAAGGGCTGTGTGGGAAAGATTCCAGAGCAAACTTGTGGAGAAGAACCATACTCTGCCAATGGAGGAATGGTTGATGGCTCATCTCAAGAATGAAGGCTCGGGGATTGATTTTGGCATTATCTGCTGGCACCTGTGGAAGCAGAGGAATGAGGAGGTGCTTGATGATAAATCATTTTCCCTTAATGGTTTGATTGCCAGAATCAACTCGTGGTTTTGCATTGCTTGGCAGGCTTATTGCAATGAGCAGAAGACTGGGAAGCAGAACCATGTTGAGCGAATCATATCTGAAGTGGGATGGAAACCACCGAGGGAGGGCTGGATGCAAGTTCAAACAGATGGCTCGGTGATTACATCAACTGGGAAAGCTGCTGCTGGTGGGTTAATCAGAGACCACCTGGGAATCTGCAGAGACGCATTTATTTGCAACCTCGGCCAGTGTTCAATCACGACCGTAGAATTGAAGGGAGCTGCAGAAGGTCTCAAGCTTGCTTGGGAAAAGGGCTACAGAAAGGTGAACTTGATGCTGGACTCTTCTACTGCAATCAGTATCATCTTGGGAAGCTCCAATAGCAACCATCGTCATGGTAATATCGCCCAACAGCTTAAGACTCTTCTTAGCCTGGATTGGGAGGTTAATGTTTTACATGTGTTTAGAGAAGCTAATCATGCTGCTGATTTTTTGGCGGGTAAAGGGCATGAGTGTAATTTTGGTACACATTCTTTCGATGTGTGCGACCAAGGTCTTGGTCAATGGCTCCGCCATGATGTAATGGGTATCACCCAAGAACGTCTTATTATTAATACGAGCTAGGCGTTAATACGCCAATCTTATTACCAAAAAAAAAAGATTAGTTAAGTAGTCAAAGTTTGGTCACTCATCGTTACCTTTAGCTAGTCTATGTTACCGCTGTCAGTTAATTGATGAAGTGTCTAACAGAAACGCCTAGTCATCCAATTTTACCCTCGAAAAATTAAAACACAATCCACCACGTCATAAAAACCTAACCCAACCTGTGACCCAACCCTTCCTTCTTAACCTGTCTGATCTAAAAAAACTCACTCAACCAGTCCCAATCTCCCCCGCAACCCTCATTATGAGCTTCGTAAACAGAGACTCGACTATGGGTTTCTGATCTTCCTCCTTCTGGCCCTACCTTCCTCGTCGACGGTGCCGCCTCTCCTTTTGGTGCCCGGTTCAGATTCGCCCCCATGGATTGGAACAGAGGTGGCAAGTGGAATCGACGAGGAGGGAAGAATTGGGAACAATCGCCCCGTCGTCTAGGGGTGTGCAATAGTTTGGTTTGTACTAGGCCAAAGCGGACCAAATGCACTGTTTGTCTGGTCTTTGGTCCATAGAAGTCTCTTACAATTGGACTGTGGTTCTGCTGAGTTCGGTACGGACCGTTGCACACCCCTATCGTCATCCATCGATTCACCATCATTGCCCTCATTGTTGTTCTTCCAAGGATCTCTAATCTCGATAGTGACAGGAGGAATCTACGATTGGGGATCTCGTCTGCGATTGGGTATTTGAAGAGGCGATCTTCTTCTACCAATTCGTCAATGGTGGTGGAGGATTCTAGCAGCAGCACGAGTGTTGGCACAACGAAACCAAATGTGGGTGCATCTTCCTTTAACGATTTGCGATGCGGTAAACTGCGTAGTGGCTTGTGGACGTCCACGGTAGATATTTGAGAGGGAAGGAGATTGAGTTGATGGCGGATGAATAGGAGGCAGAATTGAATTCCTTGTGCTATTGGTGGTTTGGGAGAGAATAGAGAGGTAGTTAGAGGGAGAAATCACTCCCAGACGGTGTCGAAGGTGGGAGGCGCACTAGAAAGTGGGAATATCTTATTGAAGTTTGGCGTAGGCGGGAGAGGGAAATGTAAGTGGCAGTGGAGTTTCACCGTTTACAAATATGCTCATGCGAGGATAACCGACTGAGTAATAGATTTAGTTAGGGTATCTAATGTGGCGGGGTTTTAGGACGTGTTAGATCAAATTTTAATTTTTATGGGTTAAAATTGGATGACTATGCATTTCTATTAGCCACGTAAGCAATTAACTGATGTCATTAACGAAGATTGACGAACGATAATGGAAAATTATCAAACTTGGACTACTGAACTAATCTAGGTAACCACAAATGGAATAAATATTTTAGTTGCGAATATAAAACATTTTTGTAATCAGTGACCTAACTTACAATTTATCCTAATTTTATTATTTTCTTTTTGGAAAATTTTACAATGTTTTATAATATCGTTTTGGTTATAATTTTTTTTATGGTGCAACCCAAATACAAATTTAGTTTGTACCTATACATTTTAAGAAAAATCTTGTATGGTACAAATTCATTTATGGTACAAAAGTTCAATTTGTACCTCGAAGCACTAATACTTTAGAGCATAGTAGAAGGGCTCACTCTTTGCACTTTTGTCATGAAGAAATCCCTCTTGGTAGTTAATAGTAGTGTCTGTGAAACCGTATCATACCGATTGTCTGACCGGAAAAATCTAATATCGGAGTCTAAATTGGTTGGTGATTTTTAGTGGTATGAAATTGTTGAACCAAGAGTTCAGCACAAAATATCCTACCTCTAACTTTTCTGGTACAACCTATGCTACCATCACTAGCTTACTAGTTTCCAAGTGAGAAAATGCTTTACTAGCTCAGCAACCGACTCATCTTCATCTTTGGCATCTTCTATCACATTTTCACCCTCCACATATCTATCGCAGTCTTCTTCAGTTTATTGGAAGACCATAAGTAGTATGTAGTTTGTAACCACTACCGACGACAAACTTCCAAATTGCACGGTCAAAGGGGATCATTGTTCATCCTTTCATCATCCTTGTTGCCTCTATC